GAGGAAGGTGGAGACAACGGGGGGTGGGGGGGGTGACTTTGGGTGGGTCAAAGGGCAGGAGGAAGAAGAGGATGAGGAGGATGAGGAAGAAGAGGAGGAATTGGGGTGGGAGAAGTTTGAGGGGTTCAGATCTGAAGGTCCTGGAGGAAGAGGAAGAGGAGGAGGAGGAGGAGGAGGAGGAGGAGGAGGAAGAGGAGGAGGAAGGTCGGGGTCTCCTCCCTGGGGAGGGGCTTGGGGGTCTCTGCTCACCCTGGACCTTCCCCTGCAGCCGCTGTCCTGGGGACAACCGGAGACCAGGGGAGCTCCAGGGAACCCATGGACACCACGGGGACCTTCATGGACACCTCAGAGACCTCCATGAACACCCCAGGGACCACCATGACCAGCCCAGGGACCTCCAGGGAACCCATGGACACCACGGGGACCTCCATGGACACCCCAGAGACCACCATGACCAGCCCAGGGACCACCACGACCAGCCCAGGGACCACCACGTCCATCGCAGAGAGCACCTTGTCCACCTCGGGGATCTCCACGACCACCACAGGGACCACCCTGAGCACCTCAGGGATCTCCACGACCACCTCAGGGATCACCACCACCATCCCAGAGACCTCCACGACCATCACAGGGAGCTCCACCACCACCTCATGGACCAGCTCGACCACATCAGGAACCACCACGACCATCACAGAGACCCCCACGACCACCTCAGAGACCACCACGACCACATCAGGAACCTCCACGACCATCCCAGGGAGCTCCACCACCACCTCAGAGTCCACCCCGACCACCTCAGGGAGCTCCACGTCCATGCCCGGGAGCACCACGAGCACCCCAGAGATGACAGCAACCACCACAGGGATCTCCACGACCACCACAGAGACCACCCTGAGCACCTCAGGGATCTCCACGACCACCACAGGGACCACCCTGAGCACCTCAGAGAGCTCCACGACCACCACAGGGACCATCCCGAGCACCACAGAGACCTCCACAGTCACCTCAGGAGCCACCATGACCAACACGGAGACCACCACGACCACCTCAGGGAGCTCCACAACCACCTTAGGGACCACCACCACCTCCTCAGGGACCACCACCACCATCCCAGAGACCTCCACGACCACCACAGAGACCACCCCGACCATCACAGGGACCACCGTGACCACCTCAGGGACCTCCACAACCACCTTAGGGACCACCACTACCACCACCATCCCAGAGACCTCCACGACCATCACAGGGAGCTCCACAGCCACCTCCTGGACCACCTGGACCACATCAGGAACCACCACAGAGACCCCCACGACCATCACAGGGACCACCCTGAGCCCCCCAGTGACCTCCACCACCTCCTCAACCTCCACCATGACCACGTCAGGGAGCTCCACGACCACTCCAGTGACCACCCCAACCACCTCAGGGACACCCACGACCACCCCTGAGACCACCCCAACCACCCCAGTGACCACCACGACCTCCTCAGGCTCCACCACGACCACGTCAGGGACAACCATTCCAGAGGCCACCACGACCACCCCAGTGGCCTCCACCACCACCACAGGGACCTCCACGACGTCCTCAGGCTCCACCTCAACCACATCAGTGACCTCCACAACCACCCCAGTGACCAGCATGACACCAGTGACCACCACAACCACATCAGAGTCCACCCCGACCTCCTCAGGCTCCACCACGACCACGTCAGGGACCTCCACAACCTCAGTGACCACCACGACCACTCCTAAGACCACCCCAACCACCCCAATGACCACCACGACCTCCTCAGAGACCTCCATGACCACCCCAGTGTCCACCATGACCACACCAGAGATAACCACGACCTCCTCAGGGTCCACCACGACCTCAGTGACCACCACGACCACCCCCAAGACCACCCCAACCACCTCGGGGACCACCACGACCACATCTGGGACTTCAACGACCTCAGTGACCACCACGACCACCCCTGAGACCACCCCAACCACCCCAATGACCACCACGACCACCTCAGAGACCTCCACGACCTCCTCAGTCTCCACCACAACCACATCAGGGACGACCATTCCAGAGGCCACCATGACCACACCAGTGACCACCACGACCTCCTCAGGCTCCACCACAACCACATCAGGGACCTCAATGACCTCAGTGACCACCACGACCACCCCTGAGACCACCACAACCACCCCAGTGGCCACCACAACCACCTCAGGGTCCTCAACAACTTCAGGGACCTCCACGACCACCCCAGAGACCACCACAACCTCCTCAGGCTCCATCACAACCACTTCTGGGACCCTCAACGACCTCAGTCTCCACCACAACCACCCCCGAGACCACCCCGACCACCTCAGGGACCTCAACAACTTCAGGGACCTCCATGACCAGCACAGGGACGCCCACGACCACACCAGAGACCACCACCACCTCCTCAGGGTCCACCACGACCACCTCAGTGACCACCCTGACCACCCCTCAGACCACATCAACCACAGGGACCTCCACGACCACACCAGTGACCACCACGACCTCCTCAGGCTCCACCACGACCACGTCTGGGATGTCCACAACCTCAGTGACCACCCCAACCACCCCAGTGACCACCACGACCTCCTCAGGCTCCACCACGACCACGTCAGGGACCTCAGCAACCTCATGGACCACCACGACCACCCCAGTGACCACCACGACCTCCTCAGGCTCCACCACGACCACATCAGGGACCTCAACAACCTCAGTGACCACCATGACCACTCCTGAGACCACCCCAACCACCCCAGTGGCCACCACGACCACCTTAGTGACCACCACAACCATCTCAGGGACCTCCACAACCTCATGGACCACCACAGCCACCCCTGAGACCACCCCAACCACGCCTGCGACCTCCACGACCTCAGTGACCACCACAACCACTCCTAAGACCACCCCAACCACCTCAGGGACCCCCACGACCATCCCAGGGACCACCACAACCTCCTCAGTCTCCACCACAACCACATCAGGGACGACCATTCCAGAGGCCACCATGACCACCTCCGGGACACCCACAACCACCCCAGGGACCACCACAACCACCCCAGAGACCACCACGACCTCCTCAGGCTCCACCACGACCACATCTGGGACCTCAACGACCTCATGGACCACCACGACCACCCCTGAGACCACCCCAACCACCCCAGTGACCACCACAACCTCCTCAGGGACCTCAACAACTTCAGGGACACCCACGACCACACCAGTGACCACCACGACCTCAGTGACCACCCCAACCACCCCAGTGACCTCCACGACCACCCCAGAGACCACCACAACCTCCTCAGGCTCCATCACAACCACTTCTGGGACCTCAACAACCTCAGTCTCCACCACAACCACCCCCGAGACCACCCCGACCACCTCAGGGACCTCAACAACTTCAGGGACCTCCACGACAAACACAGGGACACCCACGACCACCCCAGTGACCACCACCACCTCCTCGGGGTCCACCACGACCACCTCAGGGGCCACCCTGACCACCCCTCAGACCACCATGACCACAGGGACCTCCACGACCATTCCAGAGGCCACCCCGACCACCCCAGTGACCTCCACCACCACCACAGGGACCACCACGACGTCCTCAGGCTCCACCTCAACCACATCAGTGACCTCCACAACCACCCCAGTGACCAGCATGACACCAGTGACCACCACAACCACATCAGAGTCCACCCCGACCTCCTCAGGCTCCACCACGACCACGTCAGGGACCTCCACAACCTCAGTGACCACCACGACCACCCCTGAGACCACCCCAACCACCCCAATGACCACCACAACCACCTCAGGGATCTCCACGACCACCTCAGGGACCACCACGACCTCCTCAGTCTCCACCACAACCACATCAGGGACGCCCATTCCAGAGACCACCACGACCACCCCAGTGACCTCCACGACCACCTCCGGGACACCCACAACCATCCCAGGGACGACCATGACCACGTCAGGGTCCACCCAGACCTCCTCAGGCTCCACCACAACCACGTCAGGGACCTCCACGACCTCAGTGACCACCACGACCACTCCTAAGACCACCCCAACCACCCCTGAGACCACCCCGACCACCCCAGTGACCACCACGACCTCCTCAGGCTCCACCACGACCACTTCTGGGACCTCAACCACCTCAGGGACCTCCACGACCACCCCTGAGACCACCCCAACCACCTCAGTGACACCCACGACCACACCAGAGATAACCACGACCTCCACAGGGTCCACCACGACCACCCCCAAGACCACCCCAACCACCCCAGTGGCCACCCCAACCACCTCAGGGATCTCAACAACTTCAGGGACGTCCATGACCAACACAGGGATGCCCACGACCACCCCAGTGACCACCACCACCTCCTCAGGGTCCACCACGACCTCCTCAGGGACCACCCTGACCACCCCTCAGACCACATCAACCACAGGGACCTCCACGACCATTCCAGAGGCCACCCCGACCACGTCAGGGACCACCACGACCTCAGTGACCACCACGACCACTCCTAAGACCACCCCAACCACCTCAGGGACACCCACGACCACCCCAGAGACCACCACAACCTCCTCAGGCTCCACCACGACCACATCTGGGACCTCAACCACATCAGGGACGTCCACGACCACCCCTGAGACCACCCCAACCACCCCAGGGACCACCACGACCTCCTCAGGGTCCATCATGACCACGTCAGGGACCTCCACAACCTCAGTCTCCACCACAACCACCCCCGAGACCACCCCAACCACCTCGGGGACACCCACAACCACCCCAATGACCACCACGACCTCCTCAGTCTCCACCACAACCACATCAGGGACGACCATTCCAGAGGCCACCATGACCACACCAGTGACCACCACGACCTCAGTGACCACCCCAACCACCTCAGTGACCACCACGACCACCCCAGAGACCACCACGACCTCCTCAGGCTCCACCACGACCACATCTGGGACCTCAACGACCTCATGGACCACCACGACCACCCCAGAGACCACCACGACCTCCTCAGGCTCCACCACGACCACTTCTGGGACCTCAACCACCTCAGGGACCTCCACGACCACCCCTGTGACCACCACGACCACACCAGAGATAACCATGACCTCCTCAGGGTCCACCACGACCACATCTGGGACCTCAATGACCTCATGGACCTCCACGACCACCCCCAAGACCACCCCAACCACCTCGGGGACCACCACGACCACCTCAGGGACCTCAACAACTTCAGGGACCTCCATGACCAGCACAGGGATGCCCACGACCACCCCAGTGACCACCACCACCTCCTCAGGGTCCACCATGACCTCCTCAGGGACCACCCTGACCACCCCTCAGACCACATCAACCACAGGGACCTCCACGACCATTCCAGAGATAACCACGACCTCCTCAGGCTCCACCACGTCCACGTCAGGAACGACCATTCCAGAGGCCACCACGACCACCCCAGTGACCACCACGACCTCAGTCACCACCCCAACCACCTCAGGGACACCCACGACCACCCCAGTGACCACCACGACCTCCTCAGGGTCCGCCACGACCACGTCAGGGACCTCCACAACCTCATGGACCACCACGACCACCTCAGGGACACCCACGACCACCCCAGTGACCACCACAACCACCTCAGGCTCCACCACGACCACCTCAGGGACCTCAACGACCTCAGTGACCACCACGTCCATCCCAGGGACCTCCACGACCTCCTCAGTCTCCACCACAACCACATCAGGGACGACCATTCCAGAGGCCACCACGACCACACCAGAGACCTCCACGACCACCTCCGGGACACCCACAACCACCCCAGTGACCACCATGACCACGTCAGAGTCCACCCAGACCTCCTCAGGCTCCACCACGACCACATCAGGGACCTCCACGACCTCAGTGACCACCACAACCACCCCAGTGACCACCACAACCTCCTCAGGCTCCATCATGACCACGTCTGGGACCTCAATGACCTCAGTGACCACCACAACCACCCCTGAGACCACCCCAACCACCCCAGTGGCCACCACGACCACCTCAGGGACCTCAACAACTTCAGGGACACCCATGACCACGCCAGAGACCACCACAACCTCCTCAGGCTCCATCACGACCACTTCTGGGACCTCAACAACCTCAGTGACCACCACGACCACCCCTGAGACCACCCCAACCACAGGGACCTCCACGACCATTCCAGAGGCCACCACAACCACCTCAGGGGCACCCACGACCACCCCAGAGACCACCACGACCTCCTCAGGGTCCATCACGACCACGTCTGGGACCTCCACAACCTCAGTCTCCACCACAACCACTCCTGAGACCACCCCGACCACCCCAGTGACCACCACGACCTCCTCAGTCTCCACCACAACCACGTCAGGGACGACCATTCCAGAGGCCACCACGACCACACCAGAGACCTCCACGACCTCAGTGACCACCACGACCACTCCTAAGACCACCCCAACCACCCCAATGACCACCACGACCACCTCAGGGACCTTCACAACCACCCCCGAGACCACCACGACCACCCCAGTGACCTCCACGACCACCTCCGGGACACCCACAACCACCCCAGGGACCACCATGACCACGTCAGGGTCCACCCAGACCTCCTCAGGCTCCACCACAACCACGTCAGGGACCTCCACGACCTCAGTGACCACCACGACCACTCCTAAGACCACCCCAACCACCCCAGTGACACCCACGACCAACACAGTGACCACCACAACCACCTCAGGCTCCATCATGACCACGTCTGGGACCTCAATGACCTCATGGACCACCACAGCCACCCCTGCGACCACCCCAACCACACCAGAGACCACCACGACCAACACAGGGACGCCGACGTCCACCCCAGTGACCACCACCACCTCCTCAGGGTCCACCACAGCCACCTCAGGGACTTCCACGACTTTCCCAGAGACCACCACGACCTCAAGGACCACCATGACCACCTCAGGGACCACTTCAACGTCCTCAGGGACCTCCTCAACCACCTCCACGACCACTGCAGTGACCCCCACGGCCACCCCTGAGACCACCACCACCACCACTGGGACCCCCACGGCCACCCCTGAGACCACCACCACCACCACCACCTCTGGGACCTCCACCACCATCTCTGGGACCTCCACCACCCCCTCAGGGACCTCCACGGCCACACCAGTGACCACCACTGCACCCACAATCACTGAAGTGACCTCCACGACCACCCCCAAGACCACCACGACCTCCTCAGGGTCTGCCACGACCACCTCATGGACCTCCACAACCATCTCAGGGACCACCACGACCACTCCAGCGACCACCACGACCACGTCAGGGACCTCCATGACTGCCCCAGTGACTTCCACGACCTCAGTGTCCTCCACACCCACCCCAGTGACCACCACGACCTCAGTGACCCCCACGGCCACACCAGTGACCACCACGACCACCCAGGTGACCCCCACTGCACCCACGACCACCCCCAAGACCACCACAACCTCCTCAGGGTCTGCCACGACCACCACAGCGACCACCTCAACCATCTCAGGGTCTTCCACGACCACCTCATGGACCTCCACGACCATGTCAGGGACCACACCAGAGACCTCTACACCCACCCCAGTGGCCACCACCACCTCCTCAGGGTCCACCACGACCACTCCAGTGACCACCACGACCACGTCAGGGACCTCCACACCCACCCCAGTGGCCACCACCACCACCTCAGTGACCACCACCACCTCAGTGACCTCCACGACCACACCAGAGACCCCCACGACCACCTCAGGGACCTCCACAACCACACCAATGACCACCACCACCACCCAGGTGACCCCCACCGCACCCACGACCACCAAAGCGACCACCACAACCACCTCAGTGACCACCACGACCTTCCCAGAGACCACCATGACTTCAGGGCCCACCCCAACCACCCCTAAAACCACCACGACCACCTCAGGGAACTCCACGACCACCTCAGGGACCTCCACGACCACCTCAACCACCACCACCACCACCCCTAAGACCACCACGACCTCCTCAGGGACCACCACGACCACGCCTAAAACCACCACGAGCACCTCAGGGAGCTCCACAACTTCTCCAGTGCCCACCACGACCTCCCCTAAGACCACCCCCACCACCTCGGTGACCCTCACCACCTCAGGGCCCACCACCACCACCACCTTGCTGACCTCCACATCGCCCACCACCATCTCCACCACCCCTTTTTCCACCGCTGCTCCTCCTCCACCAGGTGAGTCCTGACCCAGGTGAGCTCCACCCTGCCCCGGGGTTGTCCCCGGGGTTGTCCCTGATGTCCCCGTGTCCCACCAGGGCTGTGTGAGAACGGGGGCACCCCCGGCGGCACCGGATGTCTCTGCTCGCCGTCCTACGCCGGGCCGCGCTGCGAGTTCTCCACCGACACCGTGGACACCAACCTGCGTGAGTGGTGGCCCCACCCCTGCACCTGGGGGACCTGGGAAGAGGGCCTGGGCATCTTGGGGGTCCTGGGCATCTTGGGGGTCTTGGTCTTCTTGGTGGTTCTGATCTTCTTGGTGGTCCTGGGCATCTTGGGGGTTCTGGTCTTCTTGGTGGTTCTGATCTTCTTGGTGGTTCTGGTCATCTTGGGGTTCTGGTCTTCTTGGTGGTTCTGGGCATCTTGGAGGTTCTGGGCATCTTGGGGGTCCTGGGCATCTTGGAGGTTTGGTCTTCTTGGCGGTTCTGATCTTCTTGGTGGTCCTGGGCATCTTGGGGGTTCTGATCTTCATGGGGGTTCTGATCATCTTGGGGGTCCTGGGCATCTTGGAGGTTTGGTCTTCTTGGGGGTTCTGGGCATCTTGGAGGTTCTGGTCATCTTGGGGGTTCTGGTCTTCATGGAGGTTCTGGTCTTCATGGAGGTTCTGATCTTCTTGGTGGTTCTGGGCATCTTGGAGGTTCTGATCTTCTTGGTGGTTCTGGTCATCTTGGGGGTTCTGATCTTCTTGGTGGTTCTGGTCTTCTTGGTGGTCTTGGTCTTCTTGGGCGTCTTCAGCATTTTGGGGGTTCTGGGCATCTTGGTGGTTCTGGGCATCTTGGGGGTCTCGGTCTTCTTGGTGGTTCTGATCTTCATGGAGGTTCTGGTCATCTTGGGGTTCTGATCTTCTTGGAGGTTCTGGGCATCTTGGAGGTTCTGGGCATCTTGGGGGTCCTCAGCACCTTGGTGGTCCTGGTGTCTTTGGGGTCCTGGTCTTCTTTGGGGTTCTGATCTTCTTAGGGGTTCTCAGCACCTTGGAGGTTCTGGTGTCTTTAGGAGTCCTGGTCTTCTTGGTGGTCTTGGTCTTCTTTGGGGTTCTGATCTTCTTTGAGGTTCTGGGCATCTTGGGGGTTCTGGTCTTTGATGTTCTGATCTTCTTGGAGGTCTTGGTCTTCTTGGGGGTCTTCAGCATTTTGGGGGTTCTGGTCATCTTGGAGGTTCTGTCTTCTTGGTGGTCCTGGTGGTTTTGGGGGTTTTGATGTTTTTGGGGGTCTTGGTTTTCTTGGTGGTCCTGGGCACCTTGGAGGTCCTGGTGTTTTTGGTGGCCCTGGTCCCTTTGGGGTTCCTGGTCTCTTTGGGGTTCCTGGTCACTTTGGTGGTCCTGGACACTGTGGAGATCCTCACGCCCTCCATCCCACCCCACCGACCCCTTCTCCCCATTGTCCCTCCAGCGTTCCCTGGGACCATCATGGCCGCCGTGGACATGGAGGTGACCCTCACCAACTTCAACTACTCCGAGGACCTGAAGGACCCCGACTCCGAGACCTTCCTGTCCTTCCAGAACCACTTCCGGCAGGAGGTGAGGAACGTGGGGTGGCCCGGTTGTCCCGCCACGGCCACCAAGGTGACCACAGAGGTGACCAAGGTGACCTTCTTGCAGATCAAGAAGATCTATGGGACCATCCCTGGCTACGAGGGCGTGGAGATCACCAGCCTCAAGTAAGGAGCTCCCTGACCGCCCCTCAAGGCTGGGGTGGGCTGGGATGTCCCCAGACCTCGTCACCTCCTGTGTCCCCTCCCTGAAGGTCCGGCAGCATCGTGGTGGGACACCGGGTGCTCTTCACCATGGCCCAGAGCAGCAACACCAGCGAGGAGTTCCAGGAGACCACGGATGGGCTGGTGGAGAAGCTGCGGGAGGCGGAGGCCGCCCAGGGCGAGTGCCAGCACAACACCTGTGGGTGACCTCCAGAAGCCCCCCCAGATCCTCCTGGACCCCTTGGTGGGACCTGCCCTGGGCCTCTGGGGCGCCCAAGGGTGCTGGTCTCTGATGTCTTCTCCTCCCCACCGCAGCCGTGCTGTGCCTGGTGCTGAGACCCAACCCCGTGGTCAGCGCCATGAGGGAGGTGATGGACCTGGATGGTGAGGCTGGCGTGGAGACCTTGACCACCCCATGGACCCCCCTGACCACCCCATGGACCCCCCTGACCACCCCATGGACCCCCCTGACCACCCCATGGACCCTCCTGACCACCCCATGGACCCCCTGACCACCCCATGGACCTTCCCAGCCACCCCATGGACCCTCCTGACCACCCCATGGACCCTCCTGACCACCCCATGGACCCCCCTGACCACCCCATGGACCCTCCTGACCACCCCGTGGACCCCCCTGACCACCCCATGGACCCCCCTGACCACCCCCATGGAACTTCCTGGCCACCTGACCACCCCTTGACCACCCCATGGACCCCCCTGACCACCCTATGGACCTTCCTGACCACCCCATGGACCCTCCTGACCATCTCATTGTCCCCTGACCACCCCATGGACCCTCCTGACCATCCTATGGACCCTTCTGACCATCTCACCACCCTCTGACCACCCTGTGGACCCTCCTGACCATCTCATGGACCTTCCTGACCATCCCAACATCTCCTGTCCCTCACCCACCATCTCCCGTCCCTCACCCACCCCTCAGTGTCCCCTTGTTGTCCTCTCCTGTCCAGAGCTGTGCCACCAGCGAGCCCCCCCCGGCTACGGTGACTTCTTCTGGCCGGTGGTGACCTCGGGGGTCCTGCACTGCGTCACCTCCTGCACCCCCAACCGGCCCCAGAGCCTGGAGTGCCACCACGGCCGCTGCCAGGTCACCCGCCAGGGACCGCAGTGCTTGTGAGTGCCACCACGGGGTCCCAGATCCCACCACGGGGTCCCAGAACCCATCACGGGGTCACAGTGACCACCAAGGGGTCTCAGAACCCACCAAGGGGTCCCAGAACCCACCACGGGGTCACAGTGACCACCAAGGGGTCTCAGAACCCACCAAGGGGTCACAGAACCCACCACAGGGTCCTAGAACCTGTCATGGGGTCACAATGTCCACCAAGGGGTCCCAATGTCCACCATGAGGTCCCAACATCCACCATGGGGTCCCAATGTCCACCATGAGGTCCCAACACCCATTGGGGGTCCCAATGTCCACCATGGGGTCCCAACACCCATTGGGAGGTCCCAACGTCCACCATGAGGTCCCAATGTCCACCATGAGGTCCCAACACCCATTGGGGGTTCCCAATGTCCACCATGGAGTCCCAACATCCACCATGGGGTCCCAACGTCCACCATGGGGTCCCAACACCCATTGGGGGTTCCCAGTGTCCACCATGGAGTCCCAACATCCACCATGGGGTCCCAACGTCCACCATGGGGTCCCAACACCCATTGGGGGTTCCCAATGTCCACCATGGAGTCCCAACGTCCACCATGAGGTCCCAACATCCACCATGAGGTCCCAACATCCACCATGGAGTCCCAATGTCCACCATGGAGTCCCAACACCCATTGGGGGTTCCCAATGTCCACCATGGGGTCCCAACGTCCACCATGGGGTCCCAACACCCACCATGGAGTCCCAACACCCATTGGGGGTTCCCAATGTCCACCATGGAGTCCCAATGTCCACCATGGGGTCCCAGTGTCCATCATGGAGTCCCAACACCCATTGGGAGGTCCCAACATCCCCCATGGAGTCCCAATGTCCACCATGGGGTCCCAGTGTCCACCATGAGGTCCCAGTGTCCATCATGGGGTCCCAATGTCCACCATGAGGTCCCAGTGTCCACCATGAGGTCCCAACACCCATTGGGGGTTCCCAATGTCCACCATGGAGTCCCAATGTCCACCATGGGGTCCCAACATCCATTGGGGGTTCCCAATGTCCACCATGGAGTCCCAACACCCATTGGGAGGTCCCAACGTCCACCATGAGGTCCCAATGTCCACCATGAGGTCCCAACGTCCACCATGGGGTCCCAATGTCCCAGTGTCCACCATGAGGTCCCAATGTCCACCATGAGGTCCCAACACCCATTGGGAGGTCCCAGTGTCCACCATGAGGTCCCAATGTCCACCATGGGGTCCCAACGTCCACCATGAGGTCCCAGTGTCCATCATGGGGTCCCAATGTCCACCATGAGGTCCCAATGTCCACCATGAGGTCCCAATGTCCCCCCTGGTTGTCCCCTCCGCAGTTGCCCGGACCAGGACCTGTTCTGGTACACGGGCTCCCAGTGCTCGGGCCGGGTCAGCAAGGTGGGCACCGGGCTGGGCGTGGCCGTGGCCCTGCTCTTCCTCACCTGCATCATCCTCGCGGCGCTGCTGCTCTGCCGCCGGCACCGGCGCTACCGGAGGTACCGGCACGGGGGGGGCTGCACTGGGGGCTCCCAGTTTGGGCTCCCAGTTTGGGATGGGGCTCCCAGTTTGGGCTCCCAGTTTGGGCTCCCAGTTTGGGACGGAGCTCCCAGTTTGGGCTCCCAGTTTGGGGGGAGCTCCCAGTTTGTGATGGGGCCTCCCAGTTTGGGCTCCCAGTTTGGGATAGAGCTCCCAGTTTGGGGAGGGGGCTCCCAGTTTGGGGACGGGGCTCCCAGTTTGGGGATGGGGCTCCCAGTTTGGGGAGGGGGCTCCCAGTTTGGGGATGGGGCTCCCAGTTTGGGTTCCCAGTTTGGGGAGGGGGTTCCCAGTTTGGGGATGGGGCTCCCAGTTTGGGCTCCCAGTTTGGGTTTGGGCTCCCAGTTTGGGCTCCCAGTTTGGGATGGGGCTCCCAGTTTGGGCTCCCAGTTTGGGATGGGGCTCCCAGTTTGGGGGGGGGTTCCCAGTTTGGGTTCCCAGTTTGGGATGGGGCTCCCAGTTTGGGGATGGGGCTCCCAGTTTGGGCTCCCAGTTTGGGCTCCCAGTTTGGGATGGGGCTCCCAGTTTGGGGAGAAGGCTCCCAGTTTGGGGATTTTGGGGGGAATCTCCCAGTTTGGGGATTTTGGGGGGAATCTCCCAGTTTGGGGATTTTGGGGGGGGGGAATCTCCCAGTTTGGGGATTTTGGGGGGGGAATCTCCCAGTTTGGGGATTTGGGGGGGTGGAATCTCCCAGTTTTTGGGGATTTTGGGGCCGGGGTCTCCCAATTCTCACCCCTTTCCCCTCCCCCAGCGACCTCCCCCCCTATTTTGGGGGTTCTTGGTACGAGCTCGATGATTTCTCCTGGCCCCCCCCGCGCGGTTCCGTCATCCCCAACCCGGGGGTCGCCCCCCCCGCCCGCCGCCCCCAGACCCAATTTGAGGACCCCGAGACCTGGAGGAGACCCCCGGGACCCCCCCAGGAGGGTCTGGGGGGTCCCCACCCCTTCAGGCCGTCCTTGGAGAGGGTGGATCCCTTCCTGCAGGTACGTACACCCCTGCCAGGACCCTAAAAGGACCCTAAATCCCCTGCCAGGACCCTAAAGGGACCCTAAATCCCCTGCCAGGACCCTAAAAGGACCCTAAATCCCTTCCAGGAGCCTAAAACAGACCCTAAATCCCTTCCAGGGCCCTAAAAGGACCCTAAATCCCTTCCAGGACCCTAAATCCCTTCCAAGAGCCTAAAACAGACCCTAAATCCCTTCCAGGACCCTAAAAATACCCTAAATCCCTTCCAGGACCCTAAAGAAACCGAAATCCCCTTCCAGGACCCTAAAAGGACCCTAAATCCCCTGCCAGGACCCTAAAGGAACCTAAATCCCCTTCCAGGACCCTAAAGAGACCCTAAATCCCTTCCAGGACCCTAAAAATACCCTAAATCCCTTCCAGGAGCATAAAGGAACCTAAATCCCCTGCCAGGACCCTAAAGGGACCTAAATCCCTTCCAGGACCCTAAAACAGACCCTAAATCCCTTCCAGGACCCTAAAGAAACCTAAATCCCCTTTTCCAGGACCCTAAAGAGACCCTAAATCCCTTCCAGGACCCTAAAAATACCCTAAATCCCTTCCAGGAGCGTAAAGGAACCTAAATCCCCTGCCAGGACCCTAAAACAGACCCTAAATCCCTTCCAGGACCCTAAAGAAACCTAAATCCCCTTCCAGAACCCTAAAAGGACCCTAAATCCCCTGCCAGGACCCTAAAGGAACCTAAATCCCCTGCCAGGACCCTAAAGAGACCCTAAATCCCTTCCAGGAGCGTAAAGGAACCTAAATCCCCTGCCAGGACCCTAAAACAGACCCTAAATCCCCTTCCAGGACCCTAAAGGGACCCCAAGCCCCCTCTCACTCTGTCCCCTCTCCCCAGCTGAGGACCCCGCGGCCGAGGGTCACCCCTGACCTGTGACCCCCCCGTGGGACCTCCTGGAGCGTCACGAGGAGACCCCGACCCCAAAGAGGGGACCCCAAACCCCGTGAGGGGACCCCAAACCCAGTGAGGGGACATCGACCCCAGAGAGGGGACCCCGACCCCAAAGAGGGGACATCGACCCCAATGAGGGGACATCGACCCCAATGAAGGGACATCAACCTGGACCAGGAGACCCCGACCCCAAAGAGGGGACCCCAAACCCAGTGAGGGGACATCGACCCCAAAGAGTGGACATCAACATGGACCAGGAGACCCCCAACATGGACCAGGAGACCCCAGCCCCAATATGGGGACATCGACCCCAATGAGGGGACATCGATCCCAAAGAGGAGACCCTGACCCCAATGAGGGGACATCGACCTGGACCAGGGGACATCGACACCAAAGAGGGGACCCCAAACCCAATGAGGGGACCCCAACATGGACCAGGAGACCCCAACATGGATCAGAAGACCCCAGCCCCAATAAGGGGACATCAACCCCAATGAGGGGACATTGACTCCAACCAGGAGACCCCAACCCAAGTGAGGGGACCCCAATATGGACGAGGAGACCCCAACCCAAGTGAGAGGATCTTGGCCTAGACCAGGAGACCCCAACATGGACCAGAAGACCCCGACCCCAATGAGGGGGCATTGACCCCAATGAGGGGACCCCAACATGGACCAGGAGACCCCAACCCCAACCAGGAGACCCCAACATGGACCAGGAGACCCCAGCCCAAGTGAGGGGACCCCAATATGGGCGAGGAGACCCCAACCCAAGTGAGAGGATCTCGGCCTAGACCAGGAGACCCCAACGTGGACCAGAAGACCCCGACCCCAATGAGGGGACATTGACCCCAATGAGGGGACATCGACCCCAACCAGGAGACCCCAACATGGACCAGGAGACCCCAACCCCAACCAGGAGACCCCAACATGGACCAGGAGACCCCAACCCCAACCAGGAGACCCCAACATGGACCAGGAGACCCCAACCCAAATGAGGAGACCCCAACCCCAATGAGGGGACATTGACTCCAACCAGGAGACCCCAACATGGACCAGGAGACCCCCAAACCCCAAGGGAGACCCCCAAACCCACGTGAGAATCGGGACCAGCTCCCAGTATCTCCCAGTAGCTCCCAGTATCTCCCAGTATCTCCCAGTTTGCTCCGGCGCGCGGGACACGTCAGGAGCTGGGTGAGACCCTTGGGGTTGGGGTTTTTTTGGGGGATTTTGGGGTTTTTTGGGGTTTTTTTTTTGGGATTTCTGTGGGGTTTGGGGGAGGGAACCCCTCAATATTTATTTATTTGGGGTGATGAAGCCCCACCCCCCCCGGGCAGAGCCTGGAGGGTCCCCAGGGGGGTGGAAACCCCCCCAAAAAACCCTGAGGGGGAGGGGCAGGGGGAGGAGCCCCGCCCCCTTTTCCTGCCCCTCCCCCCCCCGTATTTATTTATATTAATTAATCAATGTGTTGATAATAAACGATTGATTGCTTGGTTTAATTTGTGTGAATTCCCTCGGTTTTGGGGTTGGCGGGGGGGGGCACGGGACTGGGAGGGACTGGGAGGGACTGGGAGGGACTGGGAGGAGGTGGCACCCAGAACAAACTGGGACGTACTGGGACAGACTGGGGCATACTGGGACATACTGGGACATACTGGGACTTACTGGGATTTACTGGGAGCCGGTGACACCCCGAGCAAATTGGGACATACTGGGGCAGACTGGGACTTACTGGGAGGCACTGGGAGCTGGTGGCACCCAGAACAAACTGGGATCACTGGGATTTACTGGGATTTACTGGGAGCAGGTACCACCCAGAGTGAATTGGGACATACTGGGGCATACTGGGATTTACTGGGAGATACTGGGAGGAGGTGGCACCCAGAGCAAATTGGGACATACTGGGACAGACTGGGACAGACTGGGACACCCCAATGAGCAGGTACCACCCAGAACAAACTGGACAGAACTGGGACACACTGGGGACATCCAGGAAGGTGAGGCCACCCAACAAACCCCCCCCAAACACCCCAAATCCCACCAGGGACCCCTTGGGGACACCCCGAAACCCCTTGGGGACACCCCAAAATCCCCTCCTCACCCCAAAACCCCCTGCCCTCACTGGGAGGGGATGACTCAACCCAACCCAACCCAACTCAACCCAACCCAACCCAACTAAACCAAACTCAACGCAACTCAACCCAGATCAACGTAACCCAACCCAAGTCAACGTAACCCAACCCAACCCAACTAAACCCAACCCAACCCAACTCAACCCTGATCAACGTAACCCAACCCAACCCAACCCAAGTCAATGTAACCCAACTAAACCCAACCTAATCCAACCTAACCCAACCCAACTCAACGGATCTCAACCCAACCCAACCCAAGCTCCCCCCCCATCCCCGGTCCCGGCTCCAGCATCTCCAGGATTTTCGGGACGCCGGCCCCGCCCCGAAGGCGGTGACCACACCCCCTGGCTCCCCCCTCCCTTATCTTATCAGCAACCCCGGCGCCAGGGCCGGGCCGGAGTGACCCGGCCGCTTGGAATTCCTTGGGGAATGTCCCGACTCTTTTCACGCCCCTTTTTTTTTTTTTTTTTAATTAATTAATTATTTAATTATTTTCTTCTTTTTTTTTTTTACATTTTCCGGGTTCCAGGGGTTTGATAAAATTTGGTGACTCAGGGAATTATTTACCGGCGCTGCCCAACCTTGCGGTTGGTGACCGGGACGGGTTTGGGCCACAAAGTCCCCGGCGGCCGCCGGACCCGGCTCAGTCGCTGCTCCAGGATCGGCCGAGGATGGAGCTGGGTGGCAGCGTCTCCAACCTCATCTTCCTCCTCCTCCTCCTCTTCATCCCCTCGATGGCTCTGTCAGGTGAGACGGGGGCACCTCCAGAATTCTCTCTTTTTTTGGGAATTTTTGGGGGGTTTTGGCTCTTTTTTTGGGGGGTTTTCGGCTCTTTTTGGGGATTCCCGGTGATGAGCTTGCAGCACATTTTTGGGGGCCACCACAACCCTTGTGTCCCCTCCCCTGTTCCCATCTTGGGGTGGGGGGGTTCTGGTCCTGAAGGAGCAGATTTTGAGGGGGGGGGTCATACCCCAATGTCCCCTCCCAGGCTTGAGGGTCCCCTCCCGAGGGCGCTGGGTTGGGGGATGTTGATCCATGGGAGCAGGTGGGGCAGGAGGGGATGGACCCCAGTTCCCTTCTCCAGTTTGGGGACAAACCCTTGGGTCCCTTCTCCAGTTTGGGGACAGACTCCCAGTTCCTTTTTCCAGTTTGGGGACAGAACGTTGTGTCCCTTTCCCAGTTTGAGAACAGACTCCCAGTTCTTTTTTCCAGTTTGGGGACAGATTCCCAGTTCCCTCTTCCAGTTTGGGGACAGAACTTTGTGTCCCTTTCCCAGTTTAGGGACAGACTCCCAGTTCCCATCCCCAGTTTAGGGACAGACCGCCAGATCCCTTTCCCAGTTTGGGGACAAATCCCTGTGTCCAATCTCCAGTTTGGGGACAGACACCCAGTTCTTTTTTCCAGTTTGGGGACAGATTCCCAGTTCCCTTCTCCAGTTTGGGGACAGACTTTTGTGTCCCTTTTCCAATTTGGGGACAAACCCTCGAGTCCCTTTCCCAGTTTGAGGACAGACTCCCAGTTTTTTTTTCCAGTTTGAGGACAGAACTTTGTGTCCCTTCTCCAGTTTGAGGACAGACTCCCAGTTCTTTTTTCCAGTTTGGAGACAGAACTTTGTGTCCCTTTCCCAGTTTGGGGACAGACTCCCAGCTCCCTTTTCCAGTTTGGGGACAGACTTTTGTGTCCAATCTCCAGTTTGGGGACAGATTCCCAGTTCCCTTTTCTAGTTTGAGGACAACCCCAGCCCCCTCCCCAGTTTGGACACAACCCCCCAGCCCCCTCCCCAATTGGTGACGTCCCCATTCCCACCCCACACCCTCCCGTCCCTTGCAGCCCCCTGCGCCAACGGTGGCACCGCGGTTGGGGACACCTGCGTTTGTCCCCCCGGCCACTCCGGCCACCTCTGCGAGACCCCCGACCCCGCCAGCTCCTGCCGCAACGGTGGCACCGCTGTGGGGACAGCCTGCTACTGTCCCCCGGGTTTCGGGGGACCGCGGTGCCAGCGCCGCGACCCCGCCAGCGCCTGCCGCAACGGGGCCACCGCCTTTGGGACGAGGTGCGTGTGCCCGCCTGGGTTCCGTGGGGACACCTGCCAGGAGCTGGAGGAGCTGGGGCCGTGCCTCAACGGTGGCACCTTGGAGGAGAAGGGGACGTGCCGGTGTCCCCCCACGGCTTGGGGACCTCGGTGCGAGTGCGTCGGGACGGGAGCGACCACGGCGGCGGGGAGGGCGCTGTACGTCGGTGACACGGCGGGGACGAACGGCACGGTGACGGCCACCACGGCCGGAGGTGGCACCACGGATGGGCCATCGGTGAGGAGAGCCAGGAATGTCACGGCCAGGCCTGTGGAGGGCAATGGCACCACCGTGGTCACCGCTCATGGTGGCACCGTGGGAAGGAATGTCACTGTCACCGGTGTGGTCAGTGCCAGCACGGTCAGTCGTGGGGTGGCCAGCACGGACCATGGCGTGGTGACCATCACAGAAGAGGACACAGCGGTCAACGGTGGCACAGAACATGATGTGATGGTCACCACGGTCAGTCATGGGGTGGCCAGCACGGACCCTGGCATGGTGACCATCACAGAAGAGGACACAGTGGTCAATGGTGGCACTGACCATGATGTGGTCACCACCAGAGTGGTCAGCCCCACCACGGTCAGTCATGGAGTGGCCAGCACAGACCCTGGCGTGGTGACCATCACTGAGAGGGACACAGTGGTCAATGGTGGCACAGAACATGATGTGGTGACCACCAGAGTGGTCAGCCCCACCACGGTCAGTCATGGGGTGGCCAGCACGGACCCTGGCGTGGTGACCATCACTGAGAGGGACACAGTGGTCAGTGGTGGCACAGAACATGACGTGGTGACCACCAGAGTGGTCAGCCCCACCACGGTCAGTCATGGGGTGACCAGCACGGACCCTGGCGTGGTGACCATCACTGAGAGGGACACAGTGGTCAATGGTGGCACGGACCATGACGTGGTGACCACCAGAGTGGTCAGCCCCACCACAGTCAGTCATGGGGTGGCCAGCACGGACCCTGGCGTGGTGACCATCACGGAAGAGGACACAGTGGTCAATGGTGGCACTGACGATGACGTGGTGACCACCACAGCGAGGGCCACCAGGGTCAGGGGAAGTGTCCCCATGGCCACCACGCCGATGCTGCCAGCGAGAAATGTCACAGCCTCACACGTGAGGAGCCACGCCAGGGCCACCACCATGGAGGGTGACACTACAGCTGTGGAAGGTGACACCACGGCCATGGAGGATGAGACCACGGCCGTGGATGGTGAGACCACGGCCATGGAAGGTGACACCGAGGCCACCCCTGTGGAGGGTGACACCGAGGCCACCCCCATGGAGGGTGACACCGAGGCCACACCAGTGGCCACCACGTTAAGCAGCACCAGGGCCACCACCGTGGAAAGTGACACCGTGACGGTGCCACCAGGACACCTGGGAAGCCACAGCAGGGCCACCACCAGGGCAAGGAACACCACCAGGGCAAGGAACACCACCAGGGCAAGGAACACCACCAGGGCCATGAGGAACAGCACCAGGGCCATGAGGAACAACACCAGGGCCACCACCTTGAAAAGCGACACCAGTGTGACCACCGTGGAGAGCCACAGGAGGACCATGGAGAACAACACCAGGGCCACCGTCACGGAGAGTGACACCACGGCCACCGGCCTGGAAGGTGACACCACGGCCATGCCAGCGATCATCACGGGAGGACACAGCAGGAGCATGGAGAACAACACCGGGGCCACCACCCCAAAAAGTGACACCGGGGTCACCACCCCAAAAAGTGACACCAGGGCCACCACCCCGCCCAACGCCACCGAGGCCACCGGGGCGCTGTCCCACGTCTCTGCCGGGACCACCGGGGACTTCCTCACCAGCTCCACGGTCCCCACCGTGGCCACCGTGGCCACCATCTGCCTCTACCTGCCCCACGGCGCCAGCCCCCCGGCCAGTGCGTGAGCTGGGGAGGGGTCACCGGGGTGGGGAGGGGTCTCCTCTCTGGGGGCCATGGCAAGGGTGGGGTCTCCTTCTCAAGGGTCTCCTGAGGTGGGGAGGAAGAGGAGGGTGGAGGTTCTGGGGTCCCCTGGGTTGGGGTCTTCTACCCATGGAGCTCCTGGGATGGGGAGGAAGAGGAAGATGGAGGTTCTGGGGTCTCCTGGGGTCTCCTGGGGTTGGGGTCTCCTTCCCATGGATCTTCTGGGGTGGGATCTTCTTCCCATGGAACTCCTGAGGTTTGGGTCTCTTTCTCAGGGGTCTCCTGGGGTGGGGAGGAAGAGGAGGGTGGAGGTTCTGGGGTCTCCTGGGGTGGGGGTCTCTGTCCCATGGATCTCCTGGGGTTGGGTCTCCTTCCCATGGAACTCCTGGGGTTGGGGTCTCCTTCCCATGGAACTCCTGGGGTTGGGGTCTCCTTCCCATGGATCTCCTGGGTTGGGGTCTCTTTCTCAGGGGTCTCCTGAGGTGGGGAGGAAGAGGAGGGTGGAGGTTCTGGGGTCTCCTGGGGGGGAGGTCCCTGTCCCATGGATCTCCCGGGGTAGGGGTCTCCTTCCCATGGATCTCCTGGGGTTGGGGTCTCCTTCCCATGGATCTCCCAGGGTTGGGGTCTCTTTCTCAGGGATCTCCCGGGGTTGGGGTCTCCTTCCCATGGATCTCCTGGGGTTGGGGTCTCTTTCTCAGGGATCTCCTGGGGTTGGGGTCTCCTTCCCATGGATCTCCTGGGGTTGGGGTCTCCTTCCCATGGATCTCCTGGGGTTGGGGTCTCCTTCTCAGGGGTCTCCTGGGGTTGGGGTCTCCTTCCCATGGAGCTCCTGGGGTTGGGGTCTCTTTCTCAGGGGTCTCCTGGGGTGGGGAGGAAGAGGAGGGTGGAGGTTCTGGGGTCTCCTGGAGTGGGGGTCTCTGTCCCATGGATCTTCTGGGGTTGGGGTCTCCTTCCCATGGAGCTCCTGGGATGGGGAGGAAGAGGAAGATGGAGGTTCTGGGGTCTCCTGGGGTCTCCTGGGGTGGGGGTCTCTGTCCCATGGATATTCTGAGTTGGGGTCTCCTTCCCATGGAGCTCCTGGGGTTGGGGTCTCTTTCTCAGGTGTCTCCTGGGGTGGGGAGGAAGAGGAGGGTGGAGGTTCTGGGGTCTCCTGGGGTCTCCTGGGGTGGGATCTTCTTCCCATGGATCTCCCGGGGTTGGGGTCTCCTTCCCATGGATCTCCTGGGGTTGGGGTCTCCTTCCCATGGATCTCCCGGGGTTGGGGTCTCCTTCCCATGGAGCTCCTGGGGTTGGGGTCTCCTTCCCATGGATCTCCTGGGGTTGGGGTCTCCTTCCCATGGATCTCCCGGGGTTGGGGTCTCCTTCCCATGGATCTCCTGGGTTGGGGTCTCCTTCCCATGGATCTCCTGGGGTTGGGGTCTCCTTCCCATGGATCTCCTGGGGTTGGGGTCTCCTTCCCATGGATCTTCTGGGTTGGGGTCTCCTTCCCATGGATCTCCCGGGGTTGGGGTCTCCTTCCCATGGATCTTCTGGGTTGGGGTCTCCTTCCCATGGATCTCCCAGGGTTGGGGTCTCCTTCCCATGGATCTCCCAGGGTTGGGGTCTCCTTCCCATGGATCTCCCAGGGTTGGGGTCTCCTTCCCATGGATCTTCTGGGTTGGGGTCTCCTTCCCATGGATCTCCCGGGGTTGGGGGTGTCTCTGTCCTGGGGAATCTCCTCCACCGTGAACAAAGGATGAAGAACAGCCCCCCGGCCCACAACGCCCCCTCACCACGTCCCCGTCCCCCTGCAGTCGTGTGCCACAACGGCGGCGTCGCCAACCGCACCCACTGCCTGTGTCCCCCCGGCTACTCCGGCCGCGGCTGCGAGACCCCCGACCCCGCTGACCGCTGCGCCGGCGGCAGCACGGCCGTGGGCGACCGCTGCGTCTGCCCGCCCGGCCGGACCGGACCTCGCTGCGCCGCCCCCGAGCCGGCCACCGCCTGCCGCCACGGCGGCACCGCCGTGGGCACCGAGTGCTTCTGCCCGCCCGGCTACACCGGGCCTCGCTGCCAAGACCCCAGACCCAGCGCGGCCACCACGGCCAGGGCGAGGGTGACGCCGAGAAGAACCAGGAGGACCACGACCACCACGGTGCCCACCACCAGAGGTTGGTGGGTTTGGGTTTGGGGTGGGGAGGGCCCCTCCTCGAATCCGTGGGGATTTTGGGGAGGGGGACGCCCCCGCCCAGGAGGGGACTTCAAGGGTGGGTGTGGGGGCGGCGGCAAGGATTGGGGTTTTTCGTGGTTTTGCCCAAAAATCGAGGGTTGTGGTGGTTGGCGGAGTTGGGATGGTGGCTCTGCCTTGGGTGGGAAGACCCTCCCCCAAATCCTCTTCCTCCCCACCCCAGGAGATTTTGGGGGTCTTGCCCCCCACCCAGGAGGACACCCCAAGGTTGGGCGTGGTGGTGGCACCAAGAATTGGGGTTTTTTTTCTGGTTTTCACCCCAAAACTGGGGGGGTGGTGGTGGTGGAGACAACTTGGTGGAACTGGGATGGTGGTCCCATGGAACTGGGTTGGTGGCTTTGGATGGGGTGGGGAGACCCCCTCCCCAAATCCATGGGGATTTTGGGGGTGCTTCCCCCCACCACCACAGCAGGAGCGGTGGTGGCACCAAGAATTGGGGTTTTTGTGGTTTTCACCCCAAAATTGGGGGTGGTCTTTGTGGTTTTCACCTCAAAATTGGAGGGGCGATGATGGTGGGACTGGGATGGTGGCTCTGCCTGGGGTGGGAAGACCCCTCCCCAAATCCATGGGGATTTTGGGGGTGTCGCCCCCCACCCAGGAGGACACCCCAAATTTGGCTGTGCTGGTGGCACCAGGAATTGGAGTTTTTTTCTGGTTTTCACCCCAAAACTGGGGGTGTGGCGATGGTGGGGCCAACTGGGTGTAACTGGGGAGGAACGGGAGGAACTGGGGGGGTCCCGGTGACCTCCTTGGTGTCCCCCAAACCCTCGTGTCCCCCTCCCCAGACCCCTGCCTGAACGGGGGGCTCTGGGTGGGCACGGCCTGCCTGTGCCCCCCAAACATGGACGGCCCCCGCTGCGAGTTCGGAGCCAGCACCATCAACCTGACGGCAGGTAAGGGGTGGGACACGCCCACCTGTCACCCCCCTGTCCCCTCCGAGGTGTCCCCACCCGTGTCACGGACACCTCTGTCCCCGCAGAGCTGGGTCCCTTTGTGGCCATGGTGGCGCGTGTCACCAACCGCGACTTCTCGGAGGACATGGGGGACGCCTCGGCCCCCGGGCACCGGCGATTCGCCGAGGAGTTCAGCCGGACGGTGAGGCCCCCGTGGGTGGGAGCTCCTCGAGGGACCACCGGGATCACCCCAAGGAACCATCCTGAGTGTCCATCCCGAGTGTCCATCCCAAGAGTCCACCCCAAGGGATCCACCAAGGGAGCCCTGGGATCACCCCAAGTGTCCACCCCAAGTGTCCACCCCAAGTGTCCATGCCAAGGGATCCACCAAGGACACTTGAGTGTCCACCCCAAGTGTCCATCCCAAGTGTCCATCAAGGGATCCCCCGGGTCACCCCAACTGTCCATCCCAAGTGTCCACCCCAAGGGGCCACCCCAAGTGTCCATCCCAAGGAACCCACCAAGGACACCTGGAACCACCTCAAGGGTCCATCCTGAGTGTCCACCCCAAGGGTCCATCCCAAGGTTCCACCCCAAGTGTCCATCCCAAGTGTCCACCCTGAGTGTCCACCCCAAGGGGCCACCCCAAGTGTCCACCCCAAGGAACCCACCAAGGACACCTGGAACCACCTCAAGGGTCCATCCTGAGTGTCCACCCCAAGTGTCCACCCCAAGGGGCCACCCCAAGGAATCCACCAAGGACACCTGGGACCATCCCAAGTGTCCACCTTGAGTGTCCACCCCAAGGGTCCACCAAGGGATCCCCAGGATCACCCCAAGGGTCCATCCCAAAGTGTCCACCCCAAGGAACCCCCTAAAGAACCATCCCAAATGTCCACCCAAGGGTCCATCCAAGTGCCCATCCCAAGGGACCCTCAGGACCACCCCAAGGGATCCCCAGGACCATCCCAAAAGACCCCAGGACCTCAAAGGACCCTTGGGACCATCCCAAGTGGCCTCCAGGGCCATCCTGAGGGACCATCCCGAAGGACCCCAAGGTTCCACCCCAAGGGACCACCCGAGACCCCCCCCCAGGTGACCGGTGTCCCTCTGTCCCCAGATGGACGGGATCTACCGGAACGTCCCCGGCTACCGCGGGATCGACGTCCTGAGCCTGAGGTGGGCGAGGGACCAGGGGTGGGATTGGGGTGGGATGGGGTGGAGAAGAACCTCAGGGATGGGTGAGGAACATCTGGGATGGGATGGAATCCATGGGGTGGGATGGGATCCATGGGGTGGGATGGGATCCATGGGGTGGGGTGGGATGGGATGAGATGGAGAAGAACCTCTGGAATGGGTGAGGAACCTCTGGGATGGAATGGGATCAATGGGATGGAGAAAAACCCTCTGTGATGGGTGAAGAACATCTGGAATGGGATGGGATCCATGGGATGGGATCCGTGGGGTGGGATGGGATGGAGAAAAACCTCTGGAATGGGTGAGGAACCTCTGGGATGGAATGGGATGGAGAAAAACCCTCTGGGATGGGTGAAGAACATCTGGGATGGGATGGGAACCATGGGATGGAATCCATGGGGTGGGGTGGGATGGGATGGAGAAAAAGCTCTGGGATGGGTGAGGAACTTCTGGGATGGGATGAGATGGAGAAAAACCCTCTGGGATGGGTGAAGAACATCTGGGACGGGATGGGATGGGATGGAGAAAAACCTCTGGAATGGATGAGGAACATCTGGGATGGGATGGGATGGAGAAAAACCCTCTGTGATGGGTGAGGAACATCTGGGATGGGATGGAATCCGTGGGATGGGATGGGATGGGATGGGATGGGATGGGATGGGATGGGATGGGATGGGATGGGATGGAGAAAAACCTCTGTGATGGGTGAGGAACATCTGGGATGGGATGGAATCCGTGGGATGGGATGGGATGGGATGGGATGGGATGGGATGGGATGGAGAAAAACCTCTGTGATGGGTGAGGAACATCTGGGATGCGATGGGATGGAATCCATGGGATGGGACGGGACGGGATGGGATCCACGGGGTGGGATGGGACGGGATTTGCTAGCTGAGGACCTCCGTGCCCCCCGTGCCCAACCGTGTCGCCCCCAGCCGCGGCAGCGTGGTGGTCAATTACCGCGTCCGGCTGCGACCCCTGCCCGCCAACGCCAGCCTGGAGCGCCGAGCCCTGGAGCTGCTGGCGGTGACCAACGCCGCGTCCCAGCCCCACAACTGCAGCACCTCGGCCGGTAGGTGACCCCCACCTGCCCCGGGCCTGTCCCCACCACCTCCGGGGACCCTCAGTGACCACCCCGTGCCCTCCCCCTCTCCCAGACGGGCTCTGCTTCACCGCCACCTCCGCCAGAGCCATCAGAGCCACCACGCCGGCGCTCAACGACACCGGTGAGGCTTGGGGACAGCTGGGGACACTTGGGGTGAGCACTTGGGGTGGACACTGGGATGGACACTGGGATGGACACTGGGATGGACCCTTGGGGTGGACACTGGGATGGACCCTTGGGGTGGACACTGGGATGGAAACTTGGGATGGACATTGGGATGGACACTTGGGATGGACATTTGGGGTGGACACTGGGATGGACACTGGGATGGACACTTGGGATGGACATTTGGGGTGGACACTGGGATGGACACTGGGATGGACACTGGGATGGACACTGGGATGGACACTTGAGATGGACACTTGGGGTGGACACTGGGATGGACACTTGGGATGGACACTGGGATGGACCCTTGGGGTGGACACTTGGGGTGGACCCTTGGGGTGGACACTGGGATGGACACTGGGATGGACACTTGGGATGGACACTTGGGGTGGAAACTTGGGGTGGACCCTTGGGGTGGACACTGAGATGGACACTGGGATGGACACTTGGGATGGACACTGGGGTGGACCCTTGGGGTGGACACTTGGGGTGGACACTGGGATGGACACTGGGATGGACACTGGGATGGACACTTGGGATGGACACTGGGATGGACACTGGGATGGACACTGGGACAGACATTTGGGATGGACACTGAGATGGACCCTTGGGATGGACACTGGGACAGACATTTGGGGTGGACACTGAGATGGACTCTTGGGATGGACACTTGGGATGGACACTGGGATGGACACTGGGATGGACACTGGGATGGACACTGGGGTGGACACTTGGGGTGGACACTGGGATGGACACTTGGGATGGACATTTGGGGTGGAAACTTGGGGTGGAAACTTGGGGTGGACACTGGGATGGACATTTGGGATGGACACTTGGGGTGGACACTTGGGATGGACATTTGGGGTGGACATTTGGGGTGGAAACTTGGGGTGGAAACTTGGGGTAGGCACTGGGATAGACACTGGGATGGACACTTGGGGTGGACACTTGGGGTGGACACTGGGATGGACACTGGGATGGACCCTTGGGGTGGACCCTTGGGGTGGACACTGGGATGGACACTGGGATGGACACTTGGGATGGACACTTGGGATGGACACTGGGATGGACACCTGGGATGGACATTTGGGGTGGACCCTTGGGGTGGAAACTTGGGGTGGGCACTGGGATGGACACTGGGATGGACACTGGGATGGACACTTGGGGTGGACACTTGGGGTGGACACTAGGATGGACACTGGGATGGACACTGGGATGGACCCTTGGGGTGGACACTGGGATGGACACTTGGGATGGACACTTGGGGTGGACACTTGGGGTGGACACTGGGATGGACACTTGGGGTGGACACTGGGATGGACCCTTAGGATGGACCCGTGGGGTGGTCCCGGGTGTCCTTTGGGGGGCATCCCTTGGTGCGGACCCTTGGTGGTGGCAGGGGCGGGATGTGGACAGGGGGCGGTTCCTGACCAGGCTTTGGCTTCTCCAGAGCTCTGCCGGAGGCACGCGCCGGCCAATTTCAGCCGGTTCTACTTCCCGCACCGCACGGCCCACGGGCTCCTCTGCGTCACCAACTGCACCCTCAACGTCCCCGGCGCCTTCGACTGCCACCGCGGGCTCTGCCGCCTCACCCGCGACGGGCCCCAGTGCTTGTGAGTTGGCCACGCCCACACACCCCGGCCACGCCCACCCACCCCCAGACACGCCCACTGCTCACACCTTGAGGCGGGGCTTGAAGCCGGGGCTCAAATGGGAGAAGAAGGGGCGAAGAAGTTGAATGGCAGCGTTTGGCCCCAAATTTGAGCTCTTGAGCTCAGCGTTGCCAATGGCTGAAGGCCAAGGTCCCACCAGAACCCAAAAGTTCGGCCCCAAAACCTCGGCCCCAAAACTTTGACCCCAAAACCTTGACCCCAGAATTTCAACCCCAAAACCGTGACCCCAAAACCCTGACCCCAAAACTTTGACCCCAAAACCTTAACCCCAAAATTTCAACCCCAAAACCCTGACCTCAGAACTTTGACCCCAAAACCTCGACCCCAAAACTTTGACCCCAAACCTTGACCCCAAAACTTCGACTCAAAAGTTTGGCCCCAAAACCTCGACCCCAAAAGTTTGGCCCCAAAACTTTGACCCCAAAACCTTGACCCCAAAATTTTGACCCCAAAACCTTGATCCCAATGGCCCAACCCTTGGCTCCTGTCAAGTCCTGCCCTTCAAACCCAACCGTGAACCTCCAAACCCAACTTTGACCCCCAAACTCAACCCTCGACCCCCAAACTCAATCCTTGACCCGTAACTCCAACCAATGACCACCAAACCCAACTTTGACCCCCAAACTCAACCCTTGACCCCCCAAACTCAACCCTTGACCCCCCCAAACTCCTTGACCACCTCAAACCCCAATGCCCACCCATGGTGATGGTGGAGGATCTCCAAGGGAAGTCTCCTGTGATTCCGGGGGGTTCCTGGGGGGATCCCCCAACCCTGGGAGGGGCTGAGGAGCCTCCCTGTGTCCTGTCACCTGTCCCCTGTCACCTGTCACTTGTCTCACCTGTCACCTGTCCCCTGTCTCACCTGTCCCCTGTCACCTGTCTCACCTGTCACCTGTCCCCTGTCACCTGTCACCTGTCCCCTGTCACCTGTCTCACCTGTCCCCTGTCCCCTGTCTCACCTGTCTCACCTGTCACCTGTCTCACCTGTCACCTGTCCCCTGTCCCCTGTCACCTGTCTCACCTGTCCCCTGTCACCTGTCTCACCTGTCTCACCTGTCTCACCTGTCCCCTGTCACCTGTCTCACCTGTCCCCTGTCCCCTGTCCCCTGTCTCACCTGTCCCCTGTCTCACCTGTCACCTGTCACCTGTCTCACCTGTCCCCTGTCCCCTGTCACCTGTCCCCTGTCTCACCTGTCCCCTGTCACCTGTCTCACCTGTCTCACCTGTCCCCTGTCACCTGTCTCACCTGTCCCCTGTCCCCTGTCCCCTCTCACCTCTCACCTGTCTCACCTGTCCCCTGTCACCTGTCTCACCTGTCCCCTGTCACCTGCAGCTGCCCGGACCTGCCCTGGTACCTCTCGGCCGGCGACCGCTGCCAGACCCACATCAGCAAACTGGGGCTGGGCCTGGGCGTGGGGCTGGGGCTGGGCCTGACCATCCTCATCCTCCTCGTCCTCTGCATCGTCCTCACCGTCCGCTTGGCCCGAGGGAGGAAGAAATCACCTGGAGCCAGGTGAGGGTGGGGAGGGGTCACAGGGAGTGGTCGGACACCAAGATTTGGGGGTCGCCGCCACCTCCACCAGCGTCACCCCCAGCCCCCTGAACCTTGCCCGGCTCCACAGTGAGGACACCTGGCCGGACGGGGGCCGCGGCAGCCACGTCACCGGGATCTACCACGTCAACGGCAGAGGCGCCGGCAAAGGTGGGCGGTGAAACCATCCGTGGAGAGGGAGAAAATGCCCCAAAACCCTCACGGCGGGGTCACCATCATCCTCATCATCTTCCTCCTCCCAGGTCCCTACGGATACAACACCTACAAGCCCAGCTCGGAGGTGGCCGAAGCCCCGGCGCCGGTGGGTGATGGGGAGGGGGATGACGTCGTTTTGGGGGTGGTCTTCGGTCTAAAGTTGCACCTGGAATCCCGTTCCGACCCCCAAAACGCCGGCAATGGCCTCGAAATGCCCAAGCCCAAATGGGAGAAGAAGGGGGCGAAGAAGTTGAATGGCAGCGTTTGGCCCCAAATTTGAGCTCTTGAGCTCAGCATCGCCAATGGCTGAAGGCCAAGGTCCCACCAGAACCCAAAAGTTTGGCCCCAAAACCGTGACCCCAAAACTTTGACCCCAAAATTTCAACCCCAAAACCGTGACCCCAAAACTTTGACCCCAAAACTTTGACCCCAAAACTTTGACGCAAAAGTTTGGCCGCAGAACCCAAACTGAAGGCCTGGGAATTGACCGGGAGCGCCAATTTTTGACCCCAAAACCCAAATTGTGACCTCCAAAACCGCGGCCAATGACCTCGAAGTACCCAAGATTCCAACCGTGACCTCACCACCCCGATTTGGATCTCCGAACTGGAGGCCTGGGAATTGACCAGGAACGCCAGTTTTGACCCCAAAACCCAAACTGTGATGCCCCAAAACCCAAACTGTGATGCCCCAAAACCCCAACCAATGACCTCAAAATGTCCAAGCCCCCAAGTGTGACCTCACAACCCAAAACGTGACCTCAAAACCCCAAACTTTACCCCAAAACTCTTATCTCGACCCCCCAAAACCTCCAACCCTGACGCCAACTTCCCAACCGTGAACCCCAAACTCCAACTCAACCCCAAAGCTCCTATCTCGACCCCCATCATCCATAAATCCATAATTCTGACCCCAAAACGTCCAACCTTGACCTCAACTTCCCAACTGCGAGCCCCAAAACCCAAATTCCAACCCAAATCCCAAATTTTGAAGCTTCAAAACCCCAACTGTGACCTTCAGACCCCCAACCTCGACCTCACAGCCCCAACATCGACCCCCAAAACCCCAAGCGTGACCCCCCCCCTAAACCGCAAACCCGATTTTGACCCAAACTCCCCGATTTTGACCCCAAATCCTAACCCTCAGCCCCCTCCCCATTTTCCAGGTGCTGGCAGAAGGTGCAGCAGCCCTGTGACCCTTCCCCAATGCCTGGTGACCAAGGAGCCCCCCCAAGACCCTCGGAAGCCCTCGGAACCCTCATTTTTTGGGGGGAAAAAAGCCGGAATTGGGATCCTCTGTGAGAGAGGAGAGGTCCCCCCATGGTCCTTTTTTGAGGGGGGGGTTTCTCCTTGGAGAGGACATCTCGGGGTGGGGGGGTTTGGGATTTTGGGATCCGGCTTTGGGAGCGTGGCCGGAGCTGGAAAATCCTCATTTCCATGGAAATTATATTTATTAACGTGTGTATTTCATATCCTGAAAAAAAATCACCCCAAAAAAAGGGGGGATGGAGTTGGGTGGGATCCCCAAAGGATGGGGGTCGAGATTTTGGGGGGTCGAAATTTGGGGCTGGGGGTTTTGGGGGGGGTCGTGGTTTGGGGGTCGGGGTTGGGGGTTTGTGGTCATGGTTGAGGCGCTGGAGGTGGAAATTGGGGGTTTGGGGTCAGGGTTTGGGGTTTTGGGGGTCAAGGTTGGGGTTTTGGGGGTCAAGGTTGGGGTTTTGGGGATTCAGGTTGGGGTTCTGGGGTCAAGGATGGGAATTTGAAACCGTGGCTGAAGTTTGGGGTTAAACGAGGGATTTTGGATGTTGAGATTGGGGTTTTGAAAGTTGTGGTTGGAGGTTTGGGGTTTGGGGTTCCAGATTGGGAGTTTTAGGGTTGAGATTGAGGTTTTGAGGTCAAAGTTGGCATTTTGGGATCGAGTTTGGGGCTCTGGAGGACACAGCTGAGTCTTTAGAGCCCAAAGTTGGTTTTTGGGAGTCCAGGTTGGGTTTTGGGGTCACTTTAGGGTTTTGGGGCACTGATTTGGGGTTTCGAACGCCGAGATCGGAGTTTTGGGGGTTGAGATTGGAATTTTGGGGTCACGGTTGGGGTTTCAGGGGTAAAACTGGGGGTTTGGGGGTCAAGGATGGGAATTTGAAATAGTGGCTGAACTTTGGGGTAAAACAAGGGATTTTGGATGTTAGGATTGGGGGTTTTGAAAGCTGTGGTTGGAGGTTTGGGGTTCGGGGTTCCAGATTGGGAGTTTGAGGGTCGAGACTGGAATTTTGGGGGTCACGGTTGGGGTTTGGGCACCGATTTGGGGTTTCGAACGCCGAGATCGGAGTTTTGGGGGTTGAGATTGGAATTTTGGGGTCACGGTTGGGGTTTTGGGATCATGTTTGGGGCTCTGGAGGACACAGCTGAGTCTTTAAAGCCCAAAGTTGGTTTTTGGGAGTCCAGGTTGGATTTTGGGGTCACTTTAGGGTTTTGGGGCACTGATTTGGGGTTTCGAACACCGAGATCGGAGTTTTGGGGGTTGAGATTGGAATTTTGGGGTCACAGTTGGGGTTTCAGGGGTAAAACTGGGGATTTTGGGGGTCAAGGATGGGAATTTGAAATCATGGCTGAACTTTGGGGTAAAACGAGGGATTTTGGATGTTAGGATTGGGGGTTTTGAAAGTTGTGGTTGGAGGTTTGGGGTTCGGGGTTCCAGACTGGGAGTTTTGAGGGTTGAGACTGGAATTTTGGGGTCACTATTGGGGTTTGGGGCATCGATTTGGGGTTTTGAACGCCGAGATCGGAGTTTTGGGGGTTGAGATTGGAATTTTGGGGGTCACGGTTGGGGTTTTGGGGATCGCGGGTGGGGGTTTGAGGGTCCAGGGGTGGCCTGGATGGAATTCCCAGCCCCGACACAACCCAGCAGGACCGAAACCAACCCACAGTGACCCCAACGGCCGGCGGAGAAGGAAGAAATCCCTCAAAACGCCCCTTGGGCAAACACCGGGCCGGGGGCGGAACCCCTGAATCCAATAAAACCTGACCTCCTGCCACCCCCAAAATTCCAACTCCCGCCCTTCCCACCCCTCCCAGATCTCTGGGGAGTAAAGAAAAGAGCGATGTTTGCTTTCCGGGTGGGAAAACGGAGCCGTCCCCGCCCGCCAGCTGCGCGGGAGCGGCTGGAAAAGCGGGAAAAGGGGCGGCCAAGGAGCTTGGGCTTGGTGCTGAGGGCTGGGGGGCGTCTCCAGGGGGGTCTCCAGGATTTCCCTGATGGGGATTTTGGAAGGGTTTGAGATGTTGGGTTTGGCCACCCCGAGTCTTTTCTCGGGATGGGGTTTGGTGGTTGTCACCCTTCAGTGACCAACGATGACCCAACCGCGACCCAACCGCGACCCAACCGTGAGCCGGTGATGACCCAAAGGGTCCCCACGGGGTTCCTGATGTCCAGGAGAGGTCCTGGAGCAGCTTTGGCCACTCCGTGGCTGCGTCACCAATGGGGTGGGTGGGGGGTTTGGTCCCTTCCCAGCTCCGGGATCAAAGGTTCCTCCTCCTCCTCCTCCTCCTCCTTCCCGCGGCTCCGAGCGCGTCCCGGCGCTGGCACGGTGCCGGTGGAGGAGCCGTGATGGGGAAAATGAAAGTTTCCATCTTTCGTCTCCGTTTTTTCTTCTTCCTCCTCCTCCTCTTCATCCCCCAAGGGAGAACGGGTGAGTTGGGCTGGGAATTCTTGGATTTTTAAAATTTTTTTTTTTTGGGGGGGAATAAAATGGTGGAATGGGAGGCGGTGTTGTCTCCTCTTGGGATTTTCTGCGGGGATCCCCTGTGGAAGGGGGGGGGTTTCACCCCCATCTCCCCCCATTCCTTGGATAAAATCTCCCTCCCAAGGGTCCCATCCCATTGTGGGGTCCTTGGGAATGGGTCAGGGGTCCATGGGAATGGGTCTGGGGTCCATGGGCATGGGTCAGGGATCCATGGGAATGGGCCTGGGGTCTCTGAGAATGGGTCAGGGGTCCATGGGAAGGGGTCAGAGGTCTCTGAGAATGGGTCAGGGGTCCATGGGAATGGGTCAAGGGTCTCTGGGAATGGATCAGGGGTCTCTGAGAATGGGTCTGGGGTCTCTGAGAATGGGTCGGGGTCCATGGAAATGGGTCAGGGGTCTCTGGGAATGGGTCGGGGGGTCCATGAAAATGGGTCAGGGGTCTCTGGAAATGGGTCAGGGGTCCATGAAAATGGGTTTGGGGTCCATGGGAATGGGTCAGGGATCCATGAAAATGGGTTTGGGGTCCATGGAAATGGGTCAGGGGTCTCTGAGAATGGGTCAGGGATCCATGGGAAGGGGTTGGGGGTCTCTGAGAATGGGTCAGGGGTCCATGGGAATGGGTCTGGGGTCCATGGGCATGGGTCAGGGGTCCATGGAAATGGGTCAGGGGTCCATGGGAATGGGTCTGGGGTGGGAAAACTCAATTTTTGTTCTTTCGGGATTTTCTTAACGAAGCCGCAAAATTTCCCAGATGGGAATTTTAACGAAGGGAAAAATTCCTCATTAAATTTTTGTTCTTTCGGGATTCATGGGGAAAAATTCCTCATTAAATTTTTATTCTTTCGGGATTCATGGGGAAAAATTCCTCATTAAATTTTTGTTCGTTCGGGGTTTTCTTAACGAAGCTGCAACATTTTCCATGATGGGAATTTTAACGAAGGGAAAATTCCTCATTTTAACGAGGACAAAACTCAATTTTTCTTCTTTTGGGATTTTAACGAAGCCGCAACATTTTCCAGAAGGGAATTTTAACAAGGGAAAATTCCTCATTTTAACGAGAGAAAATTCCTCATTTTAACGAGGAAAAACTCAATTTTTCTTCTTTTGGGATTTTCTTAACGAAGCCGCAAAATTTCCCAGATGGGAATTTTAACGAGGGAAAATTCCTCATTTTAACCTGGGAAAATTCCTCATTTTAACGAAGGAAAATTCCTCATTTTAACCTGGAAAAATTCCTCATTTTAACGAGAGAAAATTCCTCATTTCAATGAGGGAAAAAACTCAATTTTTTCCTCATTAAAAAGGAAAAATTTTTTCCCCCCCTCGGGCGAGGGCAAAGCGTCCCCATGGCCCTGAGGGTGACCAAGGAGCTCACCTGGGCGGGTGCTCACCTGGACAGGTGTCAGGTGAGGAGGACACGGGAGAAACGAAAGCGAAGACGATGAGGGGGAGAGATAAGAGATCACCTGGGGCTGATAAGAGGAACCCGGGGCTGATAAGAGGAACCCGGGGCTGATAAGAGCCGGGATCGATAACGGGCTCACCTGAAATTGATAACGGCACCTGAGGCCGATGACGGCACCTGGAGGAGATCCAGGGGTTGGCAGTGGGGGACAATGGGGGCTTTGTCACCCTTGGGGTGAGGAAGAGGAGGAAGAGGAGAGGTCCAAAAATCGAGGAGTTGTGGCCTTGGAGGGAACGTTCCAGAAGGTCGCACCTGCTCCAGGTGGGATGGGATGGATCCAAAGCATTGCAGGTATCGAGGAGGCACCAAATGGACACCTGGACAGCAGGACACGCCAAAGCCACCTTAGATAGGGAGATCTTCTGCTGTCTCCACAGAGACCGGGGCTGCTGAAGCTGCAGGAGAAACCAGGACACGGGGAAACACCACCAGACCGGGCACCACCAAATCTGGAGCCACCGGGGACACCTGGAGCACCGGGGACACATGGACCGAGGGTGACACCTGGACCACCGGTGACACATGGACCACCAGTGACACATGGACCAATGGTGACACATGGACCAATGGTGACACATGGACTAAGGGTGACACATGGACCACCAGTGACACATGGACCAAGGGTGACACATGGACCACCAGTGACACATGGACCAAGGGTGACCCATGGGCCACCACCGGTCCTGAGACCATTTCCACCATGCCTGAGACCACCAAAGACCCTGAGACCACCAAAACCAACCCTGAGACCACCACAAAGATGCTGGAGACCACCAGTGACCCATGGACCACCACCAGTCTTGAGACCACTTTTACCAACCCGGCCACCACCACCACCATCCCTGAGACCACCAGTGACCCATGGACCTCCACCACTCTTGAGACCATTTCCAACACCCCTGAGATCTCCGTGACCACCCCTGAGACCACCAGTCTGGAGGCCACCAACGACCCGTGGACCACCACCAGTGGCCAATGGACCTCCACCAGTCTTGAGACCATTTCTACCAACCCTGACGCCACCACAACCATCCCTGAGACCTCCAGAACCATCCCTGAGACCACCAGTCCTGAGACCACCAGTGACCAATGGACATCCACCAGTCTTGAGACCATTTCCACCATCCCTGAGACCTCCACGGCCATCCCTGAGATCACCAGTGTTGAAACCAGCAGTGACCCATGGACTTCCACCAGTCTTGAGTCCATTTCTACCACCCCTGACAGCACCTCGACCATCCCTAATTCCACCAGTAACCCATGGATCTCCACCAGTCCTGAGACCATTTCCACCAACCCTGAGACCACCACGACCATCACTGAGACCACCAGTGACCAATGGGCCACCACCCGTGACTCATGGACCACCAGCAGACTTGAGACCATTTCCACCACTCTCTTCCCTGAGACCACCAAGCCTCAGACCACCAGTGACCAATGGATTCCCACCAGTCCTGAGTCCATTTCTACCATGCCTGAGACCACCATGACCGACCCTGAGACCACCAGTGACCCATGGATGGCCAGCAGTGACCCATGGACCTCCACCACTCTTGAGACCATTTCCACCACCCCTGAGATCTCCACGATCATCCCTGAGACCACCAGTCCTGAGACCAGCAGTGACCCATGGACCACCATGAGTCATGAGACCATTTCCACCATGTCTGAGACCACCACAACCATCCCTGAGACCACCATGCTTGAGACCACGAGTCCAGAGGCCACCAGTGACCCATGGACCACCACCACTCTTGAGACCATTTCTACCATTCCTGAGACCTCCACGGCCATCCCTGAGACCACCAGTCTGGAGGCCACCAGTGGCCCATGGACGTCCACCAGTCTTGAGACCGTTTCTACCACCCCTGACACCAGCACCACGATCTCTGAGGCCACCAGTGACCCATGGACAGCCACCAGTTTTGAGACCATTTCCACCATCTCTGACACCACCACAACCATCCCTGAGACCACCGGTCCTGAGATCACCAGTGACCCATGGGCCACCACCAGTGACCAATGGACATCCACCATTCTTGAGACCATTTCTTCTACCCCTGAGACCGCCACAACCATCCCTGAGACCACCAGTCACCCATGGACCACCACCAGTCTTGAGACGGTTTCGAACACCCCCGAGACCACCACAACCATCCCTGAGACCACCAGTCTGGAGGCCACCAGTGACCCATGGACCACCACCAGCTTTGAGATCATGTCCACCAACCCTGACACCACCACGAACATCCCTGAGACCACCAGAACCATCTCTGAGACCACCAGTGACCCATGGACCTCCACCATCCCTGGGACCAGCACAACCATTCCTGAGACCACCAATGACCAATGGACATCCACCACTCTTGAGACCATTTCCACCATCCCTGAGACCTCCACAACCATCCCTGAGACCACCATGCTTGAGACCACAAGTCCAGATGCCACCAGTGACCCATGGACAGCCACCAGTTTTGAGACCATTTCCACCACCCCTGACCCCACCACAACCATCCCTGAGACCACCGGTCCTGAGATCACCAGCGACCCATGGGCCACCACCAGTGACCAATGGACATCCACCATTCTTGAAACCATTTCTTCTACCCCTGAGACCACCACAACCATCCCTGAGACCACCAGTCTGGAGGCCACCAGTGACCCATGGACCACCACCAGCTTTGAGATCATTTCCACCAACCCTGACACCACCACAACCATCCCTGAGACCACCAGTGACCCACAGACAGCCACCACTCTTGAGACCATTTCCACCATCCCTGAGACCACCACAACCATTCCTGAGACCACCATGCTTGAGACCACGAGTCCAGATGCCACCAGTGACCCATGGACCACCACCAGTCTAGAGGCCATTTCTACCACCCTGGACACCACCACCACCATCCCTGAGATCTCCACCACCAGCCCTGAGACCACCAGCCCTGAGACCACCAGTGATGCATGGACCTCCACAACTCTTGAGACCATTTCCACCATCCCTGAGACCTCCAACAGCATCCCTGAGTCCACCAGTCTGGAGGCCACCACTCTCCCATGGACCACCACCAGTGCCCAATGGACTTCCACCACTCTTGAGTCCATTTCTACCACCCCTGACAGCACCTTGACCACCCCTGAGACCACCAGTCTGGAGGCCACCAGTGACCCATGGACCACCACCACCTTTGAGATCATGTCCACCAACCCTGACACCACCACGAACATCCCTGAGACCACCAGAACCATCCCTGAGACCCCCAGTGACCCATGGATCTCCACCACTCCTGAGACCACCATGACCACCCCTGAGACCACCAATCCTGAAGCCACCAGTGACCAATGGACCACCACCCGTGATTCATGGACCACCAGCAGACTTGAGACCATTTACACCACAACCTTCCCTGAGACCACCAGGCCTCAGACCACCAGTGACCAATGGATTCCCACCACTCCTGAGACGATTTCCACCATGCCTGACATCACCATGACCAACCCTGAGACCACCAGTGACCCATGGATGGCCACCAGTGACCCTTGGACCTCCACCACTCTTGAGACCATTTCCATGACCATCCCTGAGACCACCAGAACCATCTCTGAGACCACCAGTGACCCATGGACTTCCACCAGTCCTGAGACCATTTCTACAACACCTGAGGCCACCACAACCATCCCTGAGATCACCAGTCCTGAGACCAGCAGTGACCCATGGGCCACCACCAGTGACCAATGGACTTCCACCAGTCTTGATGCCATTTCTACCACCCCTGATAGCACCTTGACCACCCCTGATTCCACCAGTGACCCATGGACCACCACCAGTCCTGAGGCCATTTTCACCACCTCTGAGACCACCACAACCATCCCTGAGACCACCAATGACCAACGGACAGCCACCACTCTTGAGACCATTTCCACCATCCCTGAGACCTCCAGAACCATCCCTGAGACCACCATGCTTGAGACCACGAGTCCAGATGCCACCAGTGACCCATGGACCTCCACCACTCTTGAGACCATTTCTACCACCCTGGACACCACCACCACCATCCCTGAGATCTCCACCACCAGCCCTGAGTCCACCAGTCTGGAGGCCACCAGTGACCTATGGACCACCACCAGTGACCAATGGACCTCCACCAGTCCTGAGACCATTTCCACCACCCATGAGACCACCATGACCATCCCTGAGATCTCCACGACCACCCTTGAGACCACCAGTCCTGAGATCAGCAGTGACCCATGGACCACCAGCGGACTTGGGACCATTTCCACCATCCCTGAGACCACCAGTGACCAATGGATTCCCACCACTCCTGAGTCCATTTCTACCATGCCTGAGACCACCACGACCAACCCTGAGACCACCAGTGACCCATGGATGGCCACCAGTGACCAATGGACCTCCACCACTCTTGAGACCATTTCCATGACCATCCCTGAGACCACCAGAACCATCTCTGTGACCACCAGTGACCCATGGACCTCCGCCAGTCCTGAGACCATTTCTACAACACCTGAGGCCACCACAACCATCCCTGAGATCACCAGTCCTGAGACCAGCAGTGACCCATGGACCACCACCAGTGACCCATGGACCACCACCAGTCCTGAGGCCATTTTCACCACCTCTGAGACCACCACAACCAACCCTGAGACCACCAGAACTGTCTCTGAGACCACCAGTGACCCATGGATCTCCACCAGTCTTGAGACTGTTTCTAGCACCCCTGAGACCACCATGACCATCCCTGAGACCACCGGTGGCCCATGGACGTCCACCAGTCCTGAGACTGTTCCTAAGACCCCTGAGACCACCACAACCATCCCTGAGACCACCATGCTTGAGACCACGAGTCCAGATGCCACCAGTGACCCATGGACCTCCACCAGTCTAGAGGCCATTTCTACCACGCTGGACACCACCACCACCATCCCTGTGATCTCCACCACCAGCCCTGAGACCACCAGCCCTGAGACCACCAGTGACCAATGGACCTCCACCACTCTTGAGACCATTTCCACCATCCCTGAGACCTCCAAGACCATCCCTGAGACCACCGGTCTGGAGGCCACCACTATCCCATGGACCACCACCAGTGACCAATGGACTTCCACCAGTCCTGAGACCATTTCTACCTCTCCTGAGAGCACCACCACCATCCCTGAGACCACCACCACCATCCCTGAGACCCCCAGTGACCCTTGGACCTCCACCGGTCCTGAGACCATTTCTACAACACCTGAGGCCACCACAACCAACCCTGAGATCACCGGTCCTGAGACCAGCAGTGACCCATGGACCACCACCAGTGACCAATGGACTTCTACCAGTCTTGAGACCATTTCCGCCAACCCGGACACCACCACCACCATCCCTGAGACCACAAGTGACCCATGGATCTCCACCAGTGACCCATGGACCACCACCAGTCCTGAAGCCATTTTCACCACCTCTGAGACCACCACAACCATCCCTGAGACCACCGGTCTGGAGGCCACCAGTGACCCATGGGCCACCACCAGCTTTGAGATCATGTCCACCATGCCTGACACCACCAGAACCATCCCTGAGACCACCAATGACCAATGGACATCCACCACTCTTGAGACCATTTCCACCATCCCTGAGACCTCCACAACCATTCCTGAGACCACCAGTCCTGAGGCCACCAGTGACCAATGGACCACCAGCAGTCTTGTGACCATTTCCACCATGTCTGAGACCACCATGACCAAACCTGAGACCACCAGTGACCAATGGATTCCCACCAGTCTTGAGTCCATTTCTACCATGCCTGAGACCACCATGACCAACCCTGAGACCACCAGTGACCCATGGATGGCCACCAGTGACCTATGGACCACCACCAGTGCCCAATGGACTTCTACCAGTCTTGAGACCATTTCTACCTCCCCTGAGACCACCATGACCATCCCTGAGACCACCAGTGACCCATGGATCTCCACCACTCCTGAGACCATTTCAACCACCCATGAGACCACCATGACCATCCCTGAGATCTCCACGACCACCCTTGAGACCACCGGTCCTGAGACCACCAGTGACCCGTGGACCACCAGCAGACATGAGACCATTTTCACCACTCTCTTCCCTGAGACCACCAGTCCTGAGACCACCAGTGACCCATGGACTCCCACCAGTCTTGTGACCATTTCCACCATTAGTCCTGAGACCACCAGTGACCAATGGATTCCCACCAGTCCTGAGTCCATTTCTACCATGCCTGAGACCACCATGACCATCCCTGAGACCACCAGTGACCCATGGACCACCACCAGTCCTGAAGCCATTTTCACCACCTTTGAGACCACCACAACCATCCCTGAGACCACCAATGACCAACGGACATCCACCAGTCTTGAGACCATTTCCACCAACCCTGAGACCTCCACAACCATCCCTGAGACCACCACAACCATCCCTGAGACCACCATGCTTGAGACCACGAGTCCAGATGCCACCAGTGACCCATGGACCTCCACCAGTCTAGAGGCCATTTCTACCACGCTGGACACCACCACCACCATCCCTGAGATCTCCACCACCATCCCTGAGTCCACCAGTCTGGAGGCCACCAGTGACCTATGGACCACCACCAGTGACCAATGGACCTCCACCACTCTTGAGACCATTTCCATGACCATCCCTGAGACCACCAGAACCATCTCTGAGACCACCAGTGACCCATGGACCTCCGCCAGTCCTGAGACCATTTCTACAACACCTGAGGCCACCACAACCATCCCTGAGATCACCAGTCCTGAGACCAGCAGTGACCCATGGGCCACCACCAGTGACCAATGGACTTCCACCAGTCTTGATGCCATTTCTACCACCCCTGATAGCACCTTGACCACCCCTGATTCCACCAGTGACCCATGGACCACCACCAGTCCTGAGGCCATTTTCACCACCTCTGAGACCACCACAACCAACCCTGAGACCACCAGAACTGTCCCTGAGACCACCAGTGACCCATGGATCTCCACCAGTCTTGAGACTGTTTCTAGCACCCCTGAGACCACCATGACCATGCCTGAGACCACCGGTGGCCCATGGATGTCCACCAGTCCTGAGACTGTTCCTAGTACCCCTGAGACCACCACAACCATCCCTGAGACCACCAGTCTGGAGGCCACCAGTGACCCATGGACCACCACCAGCTTTGAGATCATTTCCACCAACCCTGACATCACCACGAACATCCCTGAGACCACCAGAACCATCCCTGAGACCACCAGTGACCCATGGATCTCCACCACTCCTGAGACCACCATGACCACCCCTGAGACCACCAGAACTGTCCCTGAGACCACCAATCCTGAGGCCACCAGTGACCAATGGGCCACCACCCGTGATTCATGGACCACCAGCGGACTTGAGACCATTTCCACCACAACCTTCCCTGAGACCACCAGGCCTCAGACCACCAGTGACCAATGGACCTCCACTAGTCCTGAGAACGTTTCTACAACACCTGAGGCCACCACGACCAACCCTGAGACCACCAGTGACCCATGGACCACCACCAGTCCTGAGGCCATTTTCACCACCTCTGAGACCACCACAACCATCTCTGAGACCACCAGTCTGGAGGCCACCAGTGACCCATGGACCACCACCAGCTTTGAGATCATTTCCACCAACCCTGACACCACCACGAACATCCCTGAGACCACCAATGACCAACGGACATCCACCAGTCTTGAGACCATTTCCACCATCCCTGAGACCTCCACAACCATTCCTGAGACCACCAGAACCATCCCTGAGACCACAATGACTCTTGACACCACCACCACCAACCCTGAGACCACCAGTGACCCTTGGACCTCCACCGGTCCTGAGACCATTTCTACAATACCTGAGGCCACCACCACCACCCCTGAGACCACCCATCCTGAGACTACCAGTGACCCATGGATCTCTACCAGTTTTGAGACTGTTTCTAACACCCCTGAGACCACCATGACCATCCCTGAGACATCAACAGTCCCTGAGACCACCACAACCCCTGGGACCACCATGACCACCCCTGAAACCCCTGGTCCTGAGACCACCACCCTCACTGAGACCACCACCAGCTTCTCTGGGACCTCCATCAGCCCTGGCACCACCATGACCATCCCTGAAATCTCCACCATCCCTGAGACCACCACAGTCCCTGACACCACCACCATCTTCTCTGAGACCACCACCACCACCACGTTCCCTGAGACCACCACGACCTTCCCTGGTACCACCATGACCATCCCTGGAACGACCAGTCCTGAGACCACCACCCTCTCTGAGACCATCACCACCAACCCTGGGACCACCAGCACCATCCCTGAGACCATTTCTACCACCCTTGGCACCACCACGGTCCCTGACACCACCATCACCTTCTCTGAGACCACCACCACCACCACCACCTTCCCTGGCACCACCACCTCAACACCTGGGACAGACACCAGCCCTGAGACAGCAACGTTCCCTGAGACCACCACCACCCCTGGGACCACCATGACCACCCCTGAAACCACCAGTCCTGAGACCACCACCCTCTCTGAGACCACCAGGACCTTTCCTGGGATCTCCAGCAGTCCTGAGACCACCACCATCCCTGAGACCACCGCGACCCCAGGGACCACCACGACATTCCATGAAACCACCGGTCCTGAGTTCGCCACCCTCACTGAGACCACCCCCACCTTCCCTGGGACCTCCATCAGCCCTGGCACCACCATGACCATCCCTGAAACCACCTTCGGTGAGACCATCAGCACCTTCTCTGAAACCACCACCAGTCCTGAGACCACCACTCCCTCTGAGACCATCACCACCATCGCTGGGACCACCAGCACCATCCCTGAGTCAACAATGTTCCCTGAGACCACCATGACCACTCCTGAAACCCCTGGTCCTGAGACCACCACCCTTACTGAGACCACCACCAGCTTCTCTGGGACCACCATGACCATCCCTGAAATCTCCACCATCCCTGAGACCATTTCTATCACCCCTGGCACCACCACAGTCCCTGACACCACCATCACCTTCTCTGAGGCCACCACCACCACCTTCCCTGAGACCACCACCTCAACACCTGGGACAGACACCAGCCCTGAGACAGCAACGTTCCCTGAGACCACCACGACCTTCCCTAGGACCACCATGACCTTCCCTGGGACCACCAGCAGTCCTGAGACCACCATGACCATCCCTGAGACAGCAACGTTCCCTGAGACCACCACCACCCCTGGGACCACCATGACCACCCCTGAAACCACCAGTCCTGAGACCACCACCCTCTCTGAGACCACCAGGACCTTTCCTGGGATCTCCAGCAGTCCTGAGACCACCATGACCATCCCTGAGACCACCGCGGCCCCAGGGACCACCACGACATTCCATGAAACCACCGGTCCTGAGTTCGCCACCCTCACTGAGACCACCACCAGCTTCCCTGGGACCTCCATCAGCCCTGGCACCACCATGACCATCCCTGAAATCTCCACCATCCCTGAGACCACCACAGTCCCTGACACCACCACCATCTTCTCTGAGACCACCACCACCACCACCTTCCCTGAGACCACCACCTCAACACCTGGGACAACAACGTTCCCTGAGACCACCACGACCTTCCCTGGTACCACCATGACCATCCCTGGAACGACCAGTCCTGAGACCACCACCCTCTCTGAGACCATCACCACCATCCCTGGGACCATCAGCACCCCTGAGACCATTTCTACCACCCCTGGCACCACCACGGTCCCTGACACCACCATCACCTTCTCTGAGACCACCACCACCACCTTCCCTGAGACCACCACCTCAACACCTGGGACAGACACCAGTCCTGAGACAGCAACGTTCCCTGAGACCACCACCACCCCTGGGACCACCATGACCACCCCTGAAACCACCACCAGTCCTGAGACCACCACTCCCTCTGAGACCATCACCACCATCGCTGGGACCACCAGCACCATCCCTGAGTCAACCATGTTCCCCGAGACCACCACGACCTTCTCTGAAACCTCCCTCCCATGGACCACCACCAGCCCTGAGACCATTTCTATGAACCCTGGCACCACCACAGTTCCTGACACCACCACCATCTTCTCTGAGACCACCACCACCACCACCTTCCCTGGGACCACCACCTCAACACCTGGGACAGACACCAGTCCTGAGACAGCAACGTTCCCTGAGACCACCACAACCTCCCCTGGGACCACCATGACCTTCCCTGGGACCATCAGTCCCTCTGAGACCACCAGGACCTTCCCTGGGATCTCCAGCAGTCCTGAGACCACCACCACCTTCACTGAGACCACCATGACTATCCCTGAGGCATCAACGTTCCCTGAGACCACCACCACCCCTGGTACCACCATGACCACCCCTGAAACCACCGGTCCTGAGACCACCACCACCTTCCTTGGGACCACCACGCCTGAGACAACCACAACTGCTGGCAGCACCATGACCATCCCAGAAACCACCAGTGCTGAGGCCACCAGCACCATCCCTGGGACCACCACCAGTCCCGAGGCATCAACGTTCCCTGGGACCACCACAACCTTCCCTGGGACCACCAGTCCTGAGACCACCAGCACCATCTCAGAGACCACCACCAGAGCTGAGACCATTTCTATGACCACTGGGACCACCACAGTCCCTGACACCACCACCTCCTTCTCTGAGACCACCACCACCATCCCTGAGACCACCACCACCCCTGGAACCACCATAACCCCTGGGACCATCACCACCCCTGGGACCACCACCCCCATTCCTGGGACCACCACCCCTGGGACCACCATTCCTCGGACCACCACCACCCCTGGGACCACCATTCCTGGGACCATCACCACCCCTGGGACCACCACCCCTGGGACCATCACCACCCCTGGGACCACCATTCCTGGGACCATCACCACCCCTGGGACCACCACCCCTGGGACCATCACCACCCCTGGGACCACCATTCCTGGGACCATCACCACCCCTGGGACCACCACCCCTGGGACCACCACCCCCATCTCTGGTACCACCACCCCTGGGACCATCACCACCCCTGGGACCACCACCCCCATTCCTGGGACCACCATTCCTGGGACCACCACCACCATCTCTGGGACCACCACCACCATCTCTGGGACCAACACCACCACCCATATGACCACAACCTCCAACCATACAACCACCACCACCACAACCACCAGCACACCTAGGACCACCCGTAGAACCACCATCATCACCACCACCATCTCCACCACCATCACCACCACTCCCCACTCCACCGCCACTCCAGGTACTTCCCACCCCTCCTTCCCCCCTGGCTCCTTTCCACGTCCATTCTGGTTCCTCCTCCTGCATCTCCCTCTCCTTCCAGGGATCTGCAGCAACGGTGGCACCTGGGTCAACGGCCACTGCCAGTGTCCCCTGGGCTTCACTGGGGACCGGTGTGAGGACATCAGCAACACCATCGAGACCACGGCCGGTAGGAGCTCTGTCTTTTTTTTGGTTTGTTTCCAAAACCGGGGTGAGATCTGACAGGTGAGGAAGATCTGGAGGTGTTCTCCAGGCGTGACCGTACCTCGAAGAACCTCCTCTGTAGGTCCCTCCTCCAAAGCTGTCCCACATGGATCCAACCCTTCAGGTGGACCTCCATGGTCATTTCCAAGCTGTTTCCTGCTTGAAAAAAACGGGTCAAGAATCACCGGAATCTCTCAGAACCCAAAAATTTGGGAGGAGGGTGTGATTCCACCAGGGTGAGGTGGGATCTACCTGAGATGCCCACCTGGAAATTTTTTAGAGACGTGGGATCCACCTGGGAGGACCAGGTGGGAATTTTGGGACACGGCCCAGTCCTTGCTGGGATCACCGATGGTCTCTCCCGATGGGTGGAGGACGTTTCTCCTGGTTCCTTCACAAACGACCCCCAAATTCAGGGGGTTTAGGGGGAGATTTATGGGTCCCACCTGCCTGGGAAGGTCCCTCTGCTCCTCCCTCCTTCATGGGATGGTTTTGGACCATTCCCAGAGACCAACGGGACGGTGCAGGTGGAGCTGCGCGTCACCAACCGGGACTTCACCGAGGACCTTAAGAACACCAGCTCATCCACCTACCAGGAGTTCGTCCAGGACTTCACCAAGCAGGTAAAGGGACACGAGAACCCCACCTGAGGTCAGGATCTACCTGGCGGAGCAGCCAGGTGCATCCCAAGTTCTCCAAGAACCTCTCCAGGTTCTTGCCTGTTGTTCTCCAAGTCCACCGGGATGGATTTTGGGGTGGGGACACCCAAAACGAGGGAGATCCAGGAGGGTGAGAGGGGAACGGCCCCAACGGTCCCACCTGGAGACATCTTCTCTTCTCAGATGGGCGCGGTCTACGCCGGCATTGAGGGCTACAAGGGCATCAAGGTGAACAGTCTCAGGTGAGCGTTGGGGTCGCCAGGACGGCGATTTTGGGGTCATTCCATGGGGAAAAGGGTGCTCAGATCCGGGCGGTGGCGCTTCTGTCCAGGCCTGGCAGCGTGGTGGTGGATCACGCCATCATCGTGTCCCTGCTGGTGACCTCCCAGAGCCAGCAGAAGCTCCAGAACATCACGGCCAAAGTGCAGGAGAAGATCGAGGTGGCAGCCGCACAGTTCAACTGCACCGAGGGTACCTTGCCGCCTTCCCACCGCGGGGCTGGGGACAACCAGGGCCACCCATGGGGTGGGGGGACACCTTCCCACCCACCCGAACCACCCTGGACACCCCAGAGAGGAGCTGTGGGGCTGCGTTCCTCCACCTGTTGGACCTCTCTTGCAGGTGACCTGTGCTTCAACCCCTCCGAGGTGAACATCACCAGCGCCGCGCTGGAATTTGATGGGGATGGTGAGTGGATGGTGGGGATCTACGCGGGTTGGGGTCTCCAAAGGAGCTCCAGATGACCTCTGTCCCCTCTTCCAGCCTACTGCCAGAGCCAGGCGCCTGAGGGCTACCAGGAATTCTTCTTCCCCAACCTGACAAGCTCCGGGTTGTCCTGCATGTCCAACTGCACGCCAGGCACCGCCGGCACCATCGACTGCCACCGTGGGACGTGCCACATCACCCGCGGAGGTCCTCAGTGCTTGTAAGGGCTGAAGGAAACTCATCCTCCTCCTCCAAAGCTGTCCCACACTTCAGGTGGATCTCCATGGTCACGTCCAAGCTGTTTCCTGCATGGAAATGGGTCAGGAATCGTCAGGGTTGGAGCAGGGTCTTGGTCCACGTGGTGGATCTCCATGGTCACGTCCAAGCTGGAAATGGGTCAGGAATCGTCAGGGCTGGAGCAGGGTCTTGGTCCACATGGTGGATCTCCATGGTCACGTCCAAGCTGGAAATGGGTCAAGAATCGTCAGGGCTGGAGCAGGGTCTTGGTCCACATGGTGGATCTCCATGGTCACGTCCAAGCTGTTTCCTGCATGGAAATGGGTCAGGAATCTTCAGGGTTTTGGTCCACATGGATCCAAGCCTCTGGTGGATCTTCAGAATCCTTTCTGAGCTCCTTTGGGCATGGAAACGGGTCAAGAACCATCAGAGTTGGAGCAGGGTCTTGGTCCAACCTGGATCCGACCCTTCTGGTGTAACTCCAGGCCCACCTCCGAGGTTTCCTCTGCAGAACAAGAGGTCCAAAATTATTGAGGTTGGTGTCGGGTCTTCCTCCAGGTGGATCCAAACCTTGTGATGGATCTCCATGGTCATCTCCAGGGTTGAATCCCCTGAGGTGGAGCAGAGTCTCGCATCTAACAGGGTTTGAGGCTGCAGAAATGGGGTTGGGGTGGGAGAGGTTTCTTCTTGAGGGGGGTCCCATCTTTGGGTTGACCTCCTTGTCCCACCCCACCAGCTGTGATGAGACCCACCTGTACTGGTACCAAGGTGACCGCTGCGCATCACGGGTCAGCAAACTGGCCATGGGCCTGGGCTTGACCGTGGCCATCCTGGTCATCGTGGTCATCGTCCTCTCCGTCTTCCTCTTCCGAGCTCGGAAATCTGGGTCCTTTGACAGGTGAGAGGGGACAGGCTGGGAGGTCTCCATGCGGTGGGACATCTCGTTGGGTTGGTGGCTTCCAAGATGTTCCTCGTCCTCAATGAGGTCCTGAGGGTTCAGAGGGGGGGGACCTTGGTTCTTTGCGGGGTTGTGGAGGAGCTGGGGGGGTCCAGGCAGGGATGGAGCTGCTGGTGGTGACCCCCAGCACCCCCTGACCCATCCCCAGGGCCGAGCAGGCGATGATGGAGAATTGGTACCAGAACATCAGCGAGGAGTGGAGCCCCCAAGGGAGCTTCAGCTTCCGGAACCAAGGTGGGCGTGGAGTGGGGTGGTGGGGGGGGGGTCTCTGGTGACCCCACGGGGGTGGTGGGGTCGGTTGTTGTTGCCCCCCATCCCCACCCCAAGCACCATCACTGAACCCTCCTGTCCCACAGATGTCCAGCTCCAGGATGACCACCCAGTCAACCTTGAGGCCGTGGACACTTCGGTGCCAGTGAGTTCCCCCTGCTCTCCTGCCGTGGTGGGGCCAGGGCAGCGGGGACGCCCCAGGTGTTCCTGACGCCCCATTCTCCACCGAATCTTCTCCGTCACGTCCCAACAGATCCAAATCCCGCGGCCGGAGAGGTTCGTCACGGAGCTATGAGATCCGGTGGGGTGGTGATTTCCACCACCAGAACTTTACCATCATCATCGTCATCGTCAATGCCACCATTGTTATTAACATCAACATCATCATCATCATCATCGTGACCATGATCAGCATCAAAATCTTCTTCATGATCACCATCATTATCATCATCACCGTCATTATTGTCATGACCCATATGGTCACCATCACCACCATCATCACCATCATCACCATCACCATCTTCAACATGATTTCCACCAACACCATCATCACCATCATCACCATCACCATCATCAACACGATTTCCACCATCACCATCATCACCACCACCATCATCAACACAATTTCCACCATCACCATCATCACCACCATCACCATCATCACCATCATCGCCATCATAACCCCCATCATCAACCCCATGGAATGAGGTCATCGTCCCCCCTCTCCAGCACTGCAGGACAACCTGGACCTTCTCCTGAGGGGCACCTTGACCCCCTGCCCTCATCTTCATCCTCCTCCTGTATCCCTCCTCCTCTTCCTCTGAGCACTTTTGGGTCATGACCCCACTTTTGGGACGTGAGGACCTCACCTCCAGCAGCACTTTTGGGTCCTGACCCCACCTGAAAGGTCATGTCCCCACCTCCAAGGCCACGTCCCCACCTCCAAGGCCACGTCCCCACCTCCAAGGCCATGTCCCCATCTCCAAGGCCATGTCCCCACCTCCAAGGCCATGTCCCCACCTCCCTTTGTCCCCAGATTCAAGGGTGACGATCCCCCCCCACCCAAAAAAGGGGGCTGGACCCTCTCTGTCTCAATGAAGCCACTCAAACATCTCTGGTGTCACTGGTTTGTACTGGGACCACCCCAGTGATGGCTTGGGGGAGGGGACAAACCTCCCCCACCACCTTTTTGGAGCTGTTTTTGGAGGTGACAGCCCCACACCCACCTTACCCCGACCGGGGACACTCCCACGGCATTCCAGCACCTGCCAGGTGTGTTTGGGGCCACACCTGGCCACACCTCCAGGTGTTGGGGACTTTGTCCCCATTCCTGGTTGCCAAGACACAAAAATGTTGATTTTAGCCCGGGAAGGGTGGGGCGGGAATTGGCTGAAGGCCAAGGTCCAACGCCAGGGTGGGACGTGTCTTCCTTCCCCGTCCGTGGGGCGGGAGAAGGTGGTGGGGGTGGTTGTGGGGTGGTGGGGTCATGGTGGTCATGGGGGTGGTGTGGTCATGGTGGTCATGGAGGAGATGGGGTCATGGTGGTCATGGTGGCCATGGGACTGGAGTGGTCATGGGGGTGGTGTGGTCATGGTTGTTCATGGGGGTGGTGTGGTGGTCATGGGGGTGGTGTGGTCATGGTGGGTCATGGTGGTCATGGGGGTGGTGGGGTCATCGTGGTCATCGTGGTGGGAATAATGGTGGTGGGGAGCATGGTCGTGGTGGTCCATTGTCCACCTTAGGACTACCTCAATGTCCCCACCACAACCAAGGGTGATGCCACCTTGGGACCTCCTCAGTGTCCCCAACAATGAAGGGTGGTGACACCTTGGGATCTCCTCGATGTCCCCCCACAACCAAGGGTTGTGCCACCTTGAGACCCCCTCGATGTCCCCAACAATGAAGGGTGGTGCCACCTTGGGATCTCCTCAATGTCTCCCCACAACCAAGGGTGGTGCCACCTTAGGACCCCATCCATGAATGGTGCCACCTGGGGACCCCCTCAATGTCCCCAACAATGAAGGGTGGTGCCACCTTGGGATCTCCTCAATGTCCCCCACTCACAGGTGGTGCCACCTTGGCTGGTGCCACCTTGGCTGGTGCCACCACAGCTGCCCCATCCTCCTCCTCCTCCTCCTCCTCCTCCTCCTCCTCCTCCTCCCCCGCCTTTGTCCCCGTGGGAAGGAGGTGTGGAGGAACCTCCAGGGTGGTGACATTTCATTCCAGGCTTGGGGTCAAGGGCACATTTTCTCCCACACGCGTCACCGGCCGGGGTCGGGGAACCCAAGGGCGGTTCCCAAGCGCTCGGTCAATAATTACCTCATTCCCAATATTTTCTTTTCCTTATTTAGATTCTGGTTTTCCCTTGGATCTGCACCTTGTCCCCAACCCAGGCCTGGCCTTTGTCATGGAGCCACCTTCTGTCCCCAAGAGGAATCGGACGGGTGGCAATGAAATTAAGCATGTGTTTAATTAAAAATAATCCTGTGTGCAAACTTCCACGTGGGGAGGAAGAGGATGGTGGAACTCCTGGTTCTCGTCATCCTCATGTCCCCGTGTCCCTTTGTCCCCCTCCTCCGTGTCCTGTCTCTGCTGGATCTCAGGTGGCTTCACTCAGGGACCATGGTGGGCCTCTGGATGTGCATCTGGGGAGGAAGGAGATGGGAGGACGGTGATGGAGTCCCACCATCATAAAAAAAAAAAAGAGAAAATGGGGGGGGGGACAACATCAGGGTGTGTCACCCACCGTCCTCGAGGTGTCCACCCTCTCCAGGTGGATGTAGTTGGTGCTGGGGGTCTCCATGTCTGTGGGGTGGAAGAAAGAGGTGCCATGGACCCCCCCCCGGGTGCCACAGCGACCCCTGCCCCATCTCCGCCTCCATCCCCACCTCCGCGCCCGTTACCTTCCCAGGTGGCCGCAGCATTGGCCATGGCAAAGCCCCGAGGTCCATCCCAGTTGCCATCATCGCTGCTGTAGAGCTCCGAGCGGGACCTCAGCTTCTTCCTGCGTGGTGGGACCCATGGGGATGAGACCCGAGACCCCCACGGGACCCCCGAGCTCACCCCATGGTGACACGTTTACCTGAACTGCTCCTTCTGCCTCCGAGATCTCAGCAGGAGGATGGTGAAGATGATGGTGACCAGGACCAAGACGGCCACTGGAACGCCCACAGCCACCCCAACCTTGCTGATGCGGGAGCTGCAGGCGTCGTCCTGGTACCAGAAGGCCACCTGGTCCGAGCACCTGGTGGGAATGGGCATGGTGGGCATGGTGGGCATGGTGATGGGGTCACCATGGTCATGGTGGTCATGGTGTCGCCATGGTCATGGTGGTGAGGTCATCATGGTCATGGTGGTCTTGGTGGTCATGGTGGTCATGGTCCTGGTGGTCATGGTGGTGGGGTCATCATGGTCATGGTGGTCATGGTGTCACCATGGTCATGGTGGTGGGGTCACCATGGTCATGGTGGTCTTGGTGGTCATGGTGGTCATGGTCCTGGTGGTCATGGTAGTCACAGTGGTCATGGCCATGGTCGTCACGGTGATGGGGTCACCATGGTCATGGTGGTCATGGTGGTGGAGTCATCATGGTCATGGTGGTCATGGTGTCACCATAGTCATGGTGGTGGGGTCACCATGGTCCTGGTGGTCATGGCGGTGGGGTTGTCATAGGTGGTCACAGTTGTGGGGTCACCATGGTGGGCAGATCATGGGGTGGTCCCAGTTGTGGGGTCACCATGGTGGGCAGATCATGCTGGTGACGCCCATGGCTTTTGAGGGCCACCACCCAATTTTGGGGGGCACCACCCAATTTTGGGGGGCACCACCCATTTTTTGGGGGGCACCACCCATTTTTGGGGGGCACCACCCATTTTTGGGGGGCACCACCCATTTTTTTTGGGGGTGAGGGGGCGTGTCCTTACTCGCACTGCGGCCCCTGCCGCCCCACCGAGCAGCGGCCGTGGACGCAGGGCAGGGGCTCAGCGTGGCGGCCGTCGCAGCGGGTGATGCAGATGACACCAGCACTGGTCAGGAACGGCGTGTAGAAGCGTCTGAACTCCTCATGGATGTATCTGTCGCACAGACCTGAGGGCGGAGACACAGGGCTCAGGTCTTGGGGTTCTCCAGAAAGGTGGGGGACACCCAAACCCCTCGCGGGCTTCGCTTACTTCCTTCCACCGGTTGCACGGTAGTGTTGAGGACAAAGGTGTAGTTGGTGTTGAAGCAGAGACCTGGCATGGAGAGAGGAGCTGCTGGTGGGCAACCCCAAGGCCAGCCACCCCTCGGCGAGGACCTGGTGGTGGTGGGGGTGACACCACCACGGTCACTCACAGTCGTCCCCTGTGCAGTTCTCGCTGCAGTTGTAGTTTTGGATGGCGGCGACGAGGTTCTCGGAGATGGCGCTCACCACCTCTTCGGCCTTGGAGGTGGCGGGGATCTCCAGGATGACATCATAGTCCACCACGATGCTGCCTGCGCTGTGAGGAGAAAGGGGAGCAGGGCTTGGTTCTGGAGCAAACTGGGACCAGTGTGGGATGTCCAGTGCGGAGGGGACACCACAGTTACACGGGGCTGGACCACCCTGGAGGAACTCCATGGACACAGCGTGGCTCGGAGGGATGTGGATGCTCCAGACTTGAAGGGAATCGCCTCAAACCGATCCCCGTGGGTTCCTCCACCCCAAACCACCCCCACCAAAGCTCAGGAGAGGGTCAGGACCCCCACCTGGCCACCAGTGGAGGCTCACCTCAGCTTTTTGATCTCCACGCCTCTGAACCCCTCGATATCTTTGTAAAGCTCCAACATCTGGAAGACAAAGAGAAGGCGGGGGAGATCCAGGCCCTGGTCATGGTCCACGTCACCCCCTCAAGGGGCTGTCCCCAGGGTCACCCCCGGCGTCGCTGAGTCCTGACCTGCTTCTGGAACGTGTTGTTAAAATTCTGGTAAGCCTCTGAAGATGGATTGTTGAAATCTTCATTAAAGTCCTGGTCAATTTTGGCCTTCATCACCACCGTCGCGTTCGTCGTCACTTGGCCAAGCAGAGGAGACCCATAAGGAAGAGACCCTGGTGTCCCCATCCCCCCCTGGCATCCTTGGTCAGCTTGGTCCCTCCACGGTGACCCCAAACCCAGGTCAGTCTCACCAAGGTGACCACGTTTCTCGGTTGGTGCCTCTGTGGTGACCCAACCTCGTCCCAGGGTGAGTCCCTCCATGGTGGTCCCATTCCCAGGTCATACCCTCACTCCAACCCCCGGCTGACCCCTCAGAGGTGACCTCAGCCCAGGTCCTGGTCTGGTGGCCACCCCATGGAGCCTTGGGAGCGTTCCTCACCATTTTTGATCTCCACGATGTCCTTGGCGGCCTCGCACCTGTCCCCTTGGAAATTGGGGGGGCACTGGCAGAAGCCGTTGGCCCAGGTGCCCCCGTTTTGGCAGATGAGCTCCTCGCAGAAGTCACCTTGGAACCCGTCGGGACACACGCACTTGCCATCTTCCCAGGTGCCACCATTCTGGCACATACCTGGGAGAGGGAGCCGAGGACACAGGAGATGTGACACGGCCCGGAGGAACCGCAGGAGCCACCTGGAGAATGCTGGGAGCAGGGCGGGGAGAAGGGACGTGGCTATGGACGGCCACCAAGGAGGAAGACTCACCTGGACTGGTGGCTGTGGTTGTCATGCTGGTGGTTGTGCTTGTGGTCGAGGTGGTTGCGGTGGTTGATGTGGTTGACGTGGGTGAGGTGGTTGAGGTGGTGGATGTGGTTGAGGTGGGGAAGGTGGTTGAGGTGGTTGAGGTGGGTGAGGTGGTGGACGTGGTTGAGGTGGTTGAGGTGGGTGAGGTGGGTGAGGTGGTTGAGGTGGGTGAGGTGGTGGACGTGGTTGAGGTGGCTGAGGTTGTGGAGGTGGTTGAGGTGGGTGAGGTGGTTGAGGTGGGTGAGGTGGTGAAGGTGGTTGAGGTGGGTGAGGTGGTGGACGTGGTCGTAGTGGGTGACGTGGTTGAGGTGGTTGAGGTGGGTGAGGTTGTTAAGGTGGTTGAGGTGGGTGAGGTGGTGGAGGTGGTTGAGGTGGTTGAGGTGGTGGAGGTGGTTGAGGTGGGTGAGGTGGTGGACGTGGTTGAGGTGGTTGAGGTGGGTGAGGTGGTTGAGGTGGGTGAGGTGGTGGAGGTGGTTGAGGTGGTTGAGGTGGGTGAGGTGGTTGAGGTGGTTGACGTGGTTGAGGTGGTTGCGGTGGTGGAGGTAGTGGAGGTGGTTGAGGTGGCTGAGGTAGTGGAGGTGGGTGAGGTGGTGGACGTGGTTGAGGTGGTGGAGGTGGTTGAGGTGGTTGAGGTGGGTGAGGTGGTGGAGGTGGTTGAGGTGGTTGAGGTGGGTGAGGTGGTTGAGGTGGGTGAGGTGGTGGACGTGGTTGAGGTGGTTGAGGTGGGTGAGGTGGTGGACGTTGTTGAGGTGGTGGAGGTGCTTGAGGTGGTTGAGGTGGTTGAGGTGGTGGAGGTGCTTGAGGTGGTGGAGGTGGTTGACGTGGTTGAGGTGGTTGAGGTGGGTGAGGTGGTGGACGTGGTTGAGGTGGGTGAGGTGGTTGCGGTGGTTGAGGTGGTGGACGTGGGTGAGGTGGTTGAGGTGGTTGAGGTGGGTGAGGTGGTGGACGTGGTTGAGGTGGTTGAGGTGGGTGAGGTGGTGGACGTGGTTGAGGTGGCTGAGGTTGTGGAGGTGGTTGAGGTGGTCGAGGTGGGTGACGTGGTTGAGGTGGTTGAGGTGGGTGAGGTTGTTAAGGTGGTTGAGGTGGGTGAGGTGGTGGAGGTGGTTGAGGTGGTGGAGGTGGTTGAGGTGGTTGAGGTGGGTGAGGTGGTGGACGTGGTTGAGGTGGGTGAGGTGGTTGCGGTGGTTGAGGTGGTGGAGGTGGGTGAGGTGGTTGAGGTTGTTGAGGTTGTTAAGGTGGTTGAGGAGGTTGAAGTGGTTGAGGTGGGTGAGGTGGGTGAGGTGGTTGAGGTGGGTGAGGTGCTGGAGGTGGTGGAGGTGGTGGAGGTGGGTGAGGTGGTTGAGGTGGGTGAGGTGGTTGACGTGGTTGAGGTGGTGGAGGTGGGTGAGGTGGTGGAGGTGGTTGAGGTGGTGGAGGTGGGTGAGGTGGTGGAGGTGCTTGAGGTGGTGGACGTGGTTGAGGTGGGTGAGGTGGTTGAGGTGGGTGAGGTGGTGGAGGTGGTTGAGGTGGTTGAGGTGGGTGAGGTGGTGGAGGTGGTTGAGGTGGGTGAGGTGGTTGAGGTGGGTGAGGTGGTGGACGTGGTTGAGGTGGTTGAGGTGGGTGAGGTGGTGGACGTGGTTGAGGTGGTGGAGGTGCTTGAGGTGGTTGAGGTGGGTGAGGTGGGTGAGGTGGTGGACGTGGTTGAGGTTGGTGAGGTTGTGGAGGTGGTTGACGTGGTCGAGGTGGTTGACGTGGTTGAGGTGGTTGAGGTGGGTGAGGTGGTGGACGTGGTTGAGGTGGGTGAGGTGGTTGCGGTGGTTGAGGTGGTGGAGGTGGGTGAGGTGCTTGAGGTGGTGGAGGTGGGTGAGGTGGTGGAGGTGCTTGAGGTGGTTGAGGTGGGTGAGGTTGTTAAGGTGGTTGAGGTGGGTGAGGTGGTGGAGGTGGTTGAGGTTGGTGAGGTTGTGGAGGTGGTTGACGTGGTTGAGGTGGTTGACGTGGTTGAGGTGGTTGAGGTGGGTGAGGTGGTGGACGTGGTTGAGGTGGGTGAGGTGGTTGCGGTGGTTGAGGTGGGTGAGGTGGGTGAGGTGGTGGACGTGGTTGAGGTGGTTGAGGTGGGTGAGGTGGTGGACGTGGTCGTAGTGGGTGACGTGGTTGAGGTGGTTGAGGTGGGTGAGGTGGGTGAGGTGGGTGAGGTGGTTGACGTGGTTGAGGTGGTTGAGGTGGTGGAGGTGGTTGAGGTGGTGGAGGTGCTTGAGGTGGGTGAGGTGGGTGAGGTGGGTGAGGTGGTGGATGTGGTTGAGGTTGGTGAGGTTGTGGAGGTGGTTGACGTGGGTGAGGTGGTTGACGTGGTTGAGGTGGGTGAGGTGGTGGAGGTGGTTGAGGTGGTTGAGGTGGGTGAGGTGGTGGAGGTGGTTGAGGTGGTTGAGGTGGGTGAGGTGGCTGAGGTGGGTGAGGTGGTGGAGGTTGTTGAGGTGGTGGAGGTGGTTGAGGTGGTTGAGGTGGGTGAGGAGGGTGAGGTGGTTGACGTGGTTGAGGTGGTTGAGGTGGGTGAGGTGCTGGAGGTGGTGGAGGTGGTTGACGTGGTTGAGGTGGTTGAGGTGGGTGAGGTGGTGGACGTGGTTGAGGTGGGTGAGGTGGTTGAGGTGGGTGAGGTGGTGGACGTGGGTGAGGTGGTTGAGGTGGTTGAGGTGGGTGAGGTGGTGGACGTGGTTGAGGTGGTTGAGGTGGGTGAGGTGGTGGACGTGGTTGAGGTGGCTGAGGTTGTGGAGGTGGTTGAGGTGGTCGAGGTGGGTGACGTGGTTGAGGTGGTTGAGGTGGGTGAGGTTGTTAAGGTGGTTGAGGTGGGTGAGGTGGTGGAGGTGGTTGAGGTGGTTGAGGTGGGTGAGGTGGTTGAGGTGGTGGAGGTGGGTGAGGTGGTTGAGGTTGTTGAGGTTGTTAAGGTGGTTGAGGAGGTTGAAGTGGTTGAGGTGGGTGAGGTGGGTGAGGTGGTTGAGGTGGGTGAGGTGCTTGAGGTGGTGGAGGTGGTTGAGGTGGTGGAGGTGGTTGAGGTGGTTGAGGTGGTTGAGGTGGGTGAGGTGGTGGAGGTGGTCGTAGTGGGTGACGTGGTTGAGGTGGTTGAGGTGGGTGAGGTTGTTAAGGTGGTTGAGGTGGGTGAGGTGGTGGACGTGGTTGAGGTGGTGGAGGTGGTTGAGGTGGTTGAGGTGGGTGAGGTGGTGGAGGTGGTTGAGGTGGTTGAGGTGGGTGAGGTGGTGGAGGTGGTTGAGGTGGTTGAGGTGGGTGAGGTGGTTGAGGTGGGTGAGGTGGTGGACGTGATTGAGGTGGTTGAGGTGGGTGAGGTGGTGGACGTTGTTGAGGTGGTGGAGGTGCTTGAGGTGGTTGAGGTGGTTGAGGTGGTGGAGGTGCTTGAGGTGGTTGAGGTGGGTGAGGTGGTTGAGGTGGTTGAGGTGGTTGACGTGGTTGAGGTGGTTGAGGTGGGTGAGGTGGTGGACGTGGTTGAGGTGGGTGAGGTGGTTGCGGTGGTTGAGGTGGTGGACGTGGGTGAGGTGGTTGAGGTGGTTGAGGTGGGTGAGGTGGTGGACGTGGTTGAGGTGGTTGAGGTGGGTGAGGTGGTGGACGTGGTTGAGGTGGCTGAGGTTGTGGAGGTGGTTGAGGTGGTCGAGGTGGTTGAGGTGGTTGAGGTGGGTGAGGTGGTGGACGTGGTTGAGGTGGGTGAGGTGGTTGACGTGGTTGAGGTGGGTGAGGTGGTTGCGGTGGTTGAGGTGGTGGAGGTGGGTGAGGTGGTTGAGGTTGTTGAGGTTGTTAAGGTGGTTGAGGAGGTTGAAGTGGTTGAGGTGGGTGAGGTGGGTGAGGTGGTTGAGGTGGGTGAGGTGCTGGAGGTGGTGGAGGTGGTTGAGGTGGTGGAGGTGGTTGAGGTGGTGGAGGTGGGTGAGGTGGTTGAGGTGGGTGAGGTGGTTGACGTGGTTGAGGTGGTTGAGGTGGGTGAGGTGGTTGCGGTGGTTGAGGTGGTGGAGGTGGGTGAGGTGGTGGAGGTGCTTGAGGTGGTGGACGTGGTTGAGGTGGTTGAGGTGGGTGAGGTGGTGGACGTGGTTGAGGTGGTTGAGGTGGGTGAGGTGGTGGACGTGGTTGAGGTGGTGGAGGTGCTTGAGGTGGTTGAGGTGGGTGAGGTGGGTGAGGTGGTGGACGTGGTTGAGGTTGGTGAGGTTGTGGAGGTGGTTGACGTGGTCGAGGTGGGTGAGGTGGTTGACGTGGTTGAGGTGGTTGACGTGGTTGAGGTGGTTGAGGTGGGTGAGGTGGTGGACGTGGTTGAGGTGGGTGAGGTGGTTGCGGTGGTTGAGGTGGTGGAGGTGGGTGAGGTGCTTGAGGTGGTGGAGGTGGGTGAGGTGGTGGAGGTGCTTGAGGTGGTTGAGGTGGGTGAGGTTGTTAAGGTGGTTGAGGTGGGTGAGGTGGTGGAGGTGGTTGAGGTTGGTGAGGTTGTGGAGGTGGTTGACGTGGATGAGGTGGTTGACGTGGTTGAGGTGGTTGACGTGGTTGAGGTGGTTGAGGTGGGTGAGGTGGTGGACGTGGTTGAGGTGGGTGAGGTGGTTGCGGTGGTTGAGGTGGGTGAGGTGGGTGAGGTGGTGGACGTGGTTGAGGTGGTTGAGGTGGGTGAGGTGGTGGACGTGGTCGTAGTGGGTGACGTGGTTGAGGTGGTTGAGGTGGTGGAGGTGGTTGAGGTGGTGGAGGTGCTTGAGGTGGGTGAGGTGGGTGAGGTGGTAGAGGTGGTTGAGGTGGTTGAGGTGGGTGAGGTGGTTGAGGTGGTTGAGGTGGGTGAGGTGGTGGAGGTGGTTGAGGTGGTTGAGGTGGTTGAGGTGGGTGAGGTGGTTGAGGTGGGTGAGGTGGTTGAGGTGGGTGAGGTGGTGGACATGGTTGAGGTGGTGGAGGTGCTTGAGGTGGTTGAGGTGGTTGAGGTGGGTGAGGTGGGTGAGGTGGTGGACGTGGTTGAGGTTGGTGAGGTTGTGGAGGTGGTTGACGTGGTGGAGGTGGGTGAGGTGGTTGACGTGGTTGAGGTGGTTGACGTGGTTGAGGTGGTTGAGGTGGGTGAGGTGGTGGACGTGGTTGAGGTGGGTGAGGTGGTGGAGGTGGTTGAGGTGGTGGAGGTGGGTGAGGTGGTGGACGTGGTTGAGGTGGCTGAGGTTGTGGAGGTGGTTGAGGTGGTTGAGGTGGGTGAGGTGGTTGAGGTGGTTGAGGTGGGTGAGGTTGTTAAGGTGGTTGAGGTGGGTGAGGTCGTGGAGGTGGTTGAGGTGGTGGAGGTGGGTGAGGTGGTTGAGGTTGTTGAGGTTGTTAAGGTGGTTGAGGAGGTTGAAGTGGTTGAGGTGGGTGAGGTGGTTGAGGTGGGTGAGGTGCTGGAGGTGGTGGAGGTGGTTGAGGTGGTGGAGGTGGGTGAGGTGGTGGAGGTGGGTGAGGTGGTGGACGTGGTTGAGGTGGTGGAGGTGCTTGAGGTGGTTGAGGTGGTTGAGGTGGTGGAGGTGGTTGAGGTGGGTGAGGTGGTTGAGGTGGTTGACGTGGGTGAGGTGGTGGAGGTGGTTGAGGTGGTGGACGTGGTTGAGGTGGGTGAGGTGGTGGACGTGGTTGAGGTGGCTGAGGTTGTGGAGGTGGTTGAGGTGGTCGAGGTGGGTGAGGTGGTTGAGGTGGGTGAGGTGGTGAAGGTGGTTGAGGTGGGTGAGGTGGTGGACGTGGTCGTAGTGGGTGACGTGGTTGAGGTGGTTGAGGTGGGTGAGGTTGTTAAGGTGGTTGAGGTGGGTGAGGTGGTGGAGGTGGTTGAGGTGGTGGAGGTGGGTGAGGTGGTGGACGTGGTTGAGGTGGTGGAGGTGGTTGAGGTGGTGGAGGTGCTTGAGGTGGTTGAGGTGGGTGAGGTGGGTGAGGTGGTGGACGTGGTTGAGGTTGGTGAGGTGGTTGAGGTGGGTGAGGTGGGTGAGGTGGTGGACGTGGTTGAGGTTGGTGAGGTTGTGGAGGTGGTTGACGTGGGTGAGGTGTTTGACGTGGTTGAGGTGGTGGACGTGGTTGAGGTGGGTGAGGTGGGTGAGGTGGTTGAGGTGGGTGAGGTGGTGGACGTGGTTGAGGTTGGTGTGGTTGTGGAGGTGGTTGACGTGGTGGAGGTGGGTGAGGTGGGTGAGGTGGTGGACGTGGTTGAGGTGGTGGAGGTGGTTGAGGTGGTTGAGGTAGTGGAGGTGGTTGAGGTGGTTGAGGTGGTTGAGGTGGTTGAGGTGGATGAGGTGGGTGAGGTGGTGGACGTGGTTGAGCTGGTTGAGGTCGGTGAGGTGGTGGAGGTGGCTGAGGTGGTTGAGGTGGGTGAGGTGGTGGACGTGGTTGAGGTGGGTGAGGTTGTGGAGGTGCTGGAGGTGCTGGAGGTGGTTGAGGAAGTTGAGGTGGTGGAGGTGGGTGAGGTGGTGGAGGTGGATGAGGTGGGTGAGGTGGTGGAGGTGGATGATGTGGGTGAGGTGGTGGACGTACTTGAGGTGGCTGAGGTGGTTGAGGTGCTGGATGTGGTTGAGGTGGGTGAGGTGGTGGACGTGGGTGAGGTGGTGGAGGTAGGTGAGGTGGGTGAGGTGGGTGTGGTGGATGAGGTGGATGAGGCGGTTGAGGTGGATGAGGTGGGTGACGTGGTGGACGTGGTAGAGGTGGGTGAGGTTGTTGAAGTAGGTGAGGTTGTGGAGGTGGTGGAGGTGCTGGAGGTGGGTGAGGAAGTTGAGGTGGTTGAGGTGGGTGAGGTGGTTGAGGTGGTTGAGGTGGATGAGGTGGTGGAGGTGGATGAGGTGGTGGAGGTGGTTGAGGTGGGTGAGGTGGTGGACGTGGTTGAGGTGGGTGAGGTGGATGAGGTGGTGGAGGTGCTGGAGGTGGGTGAGGTGGATATGGTGGATGAGGTGGAGGAGGTGGATGAGGTGCTTGAGGTGGGTGAGGTGGTTGAGGTGGTGGAAGTGGGTGAGGTGGTTGAGGTGGTTGAGGTGGGTGATGTGGTGGAGGTGCTGGAGGTGCTGGAGGTGGGTGAGGTTGTGGAGGTGGTGGAGGTGCTGGAGGTGGGTGAGGAAGTTGAGGTGGGTGAGGTGGATGAGGTGGATGAGGTGGTGGAGGTGCTTGACGTGGTTGAGGTGCTTGACGTGGTTGAGGTGGTGGCGGTGGGTGCGGTGGTTGCGGTGGGTGAGGTGGTGGACGTGCTTGAGGTGGGTGAGGTGGTGGAGGTGGATGAGGTGGATGACGTGGATGACGTGGATGACGTGGTTGCTGTTGGTGAGGTGGTTGTGGAGGTTGCGGTGCTTGAGGTGGGTGAGGTGGGTGAGATGGTTGAGGTGGGTGTAGTTCTTGAGGTGGGTGAGGAGGTTGGGGAGGTTGGGGAGGTTGGAGTTGGAGAAGAGTTTGAGGAGGTTGGAGTGTTTGAGGTGGATGGGGTGGTCGTGGTGCTGCTGGGCGATGTTTCTGTGTTTGGGTTCATGTTGGGGGTTGTGGTTTCGTCCTTGCCTTCATCCAAGTTGGTTTTGGTCAGCGTGGTCCCATCGGAGCTCCTGATGCCGCCGCTGTCCACGGTTTTGTCCCCTGCTGGAGCAGTGGTGGCCGTGTCATCCCAGCACCGACACGGCCACGCCCTTCAAGATGGCCGCCCCACCATCTCCTCCTACGCCAGCCCTGCCCAGGCCGAGCTCTCCAACATCTCCCAGAACCCCACGGAGCCCCAGAATCTGCCCAGCCCCTCAGGGACCCCCACCCCTCCCCAAATCCCCGCCCCTGGAACCCCAAAAATGCCCCCCAAGAGCCCCAGGTGGATCCCAAAACCCCCAAGATCCCTTGACCCCCAGCCCCCAAACTCCCCTGGACCCCCAAAGACCCTCGCCCACCCCAGAACCATGGTCCCCACCAAAAACCCAACCTTGGTTCTCCAAAGATGCCCCAAGGATTCCCAGTTGAGTCCCAAGACCCCTCCCCAGTGGGATCCCAAAGCCCCCTGACCCCAAATGTCCCTTGGTGTCCCTTAAAGACCCCCGGATCCCCCCCCCAAACACCCCTGGACCCCCCAAAGACCCTCGCCCACCCCAGAACCACGGTCCCCACCAAAGACCAACCTTGGTTCTCCAAAGATCTGCAAGAACCCCAGGTGGGTCTCAAGATTCAAGGACACCCCAAAGGTCCCTGGACACCCCCAAAGACCCCAAGACCCCCACAAAGACCCCAAGACACCCCCCCCCCCCCATGGGGTGGGGGACGTGTCCCAGTGCCACCAGGGGAAGGGAGGGGTCCTGATGCCACCATGGATCAGGGACATGTCCCAGTGCCACCATAGGGTGGGGAGGGGTCCTGATGCCACCATGGGGTGGGGACATGTCCCAGTGCCACCATGGGGTTGGGGAGGGGTCCTGATGCCACCATGGGGTGGGGACATGTCCCAGTGCCACCACAGGGTCAGGAGGGGTCCCAGTGCTACCACGGCGTCAGGGACATGTCCCAGTGCCACCACGGGGTTGGGCACATGTCCCAGTGCCACCAGGGGAGGGGAGGGGTCCCAGTGCCACCATGGGGTTGGGGAGGGGTCCCAGTGCCACCATGGGGTGGGGAGGGGTCCCAGTGCCACCATGGATGAGGGACATGTCCCAGTGCCACCACGGGGTTGGGGAGGGGTCCCAGAGCCACCATGGGGTGGGGAGGGGTCCTGATGCCACCATGCATCAGGGACATGTCCCAGTGCCACCATGGGGTTGGGGACATGTCCCAGTGCCACCAGGGGAAGGGAGGGGTCCCAGTGCCACCACAGGGTCAGGAGGGGTCCCAGTGCCACCACGGGGTTGGGGAGGGGTCCCAGTGCCACCACGGGGTTGTGGAGGGGTCCCGGTGCCACCATGGGGTGGCGAGGGGAGGGGTCCCGGTGCCACCATGTCCCACCTGTGAAGACCAGCAGGAGGCAGACGCAGAGCGAGGCCGGGTGGCGCCAGAGCCGCCCCATGTCCCCCCCGATCTCCGGCGCTGGGGACAGAGAGAGGGACACGAGGATCCGTCCCCACCGGCGGGCGCGGCGGCACTGGGGACACAGGGGACACCCGGAGGGGACCTTTGGTCACAATAAAAAGGAGGGCGAGAAACGAAACCTGACTCTGCAGGTTCTGCCAGGAATGTGCCAGGCAGGTGCCACCGCCCTGTCCCCGGCACGTGGCGCCACAAAGGGACAACAGACGCGCGGTGGCCTTGAGGGGATGGAGGTGGCACTCCCAGCAGGTTCAGGAGGTTCCTCGCGGTGTCACCGGCATGGGGAAGGTCCCAGGCGTGGCCAAGGGCGCGCTCTGATCCTGTGGGGACGTGGAGAGGGGACAGGGGACACGGGATTGGGGACATGGGACGGTGGAGGGGACACGGGATTGGGGACAAGGGACACGGGGTCAGGGTGACCCTTGAGGGGACGGAGGTGGCACTCCCAGCAGGTTCAGGAGGTTCCTCGCGGTGTCACCACCATGGGGAAGGTCCCAGGCGTGGCCAAGGGCGCGCTCTGATCCTGTGGGGACGTGGGACAGGGGACAGGGGACAAGGGACAAGGACATGGGACATGGGACACGGGATGGGGACATGGGTGATGGGATGGGGACAGTGGACAGGGGACAAGGGACAAGGGACAAGGACATGGTGGGACAAGGGACACGGGTGGTGGGATGGGGACAGGGGACAGGGGACAAGGACATGGTGGGACAGGGGATGGGGACATGGACAAGGTGGGACAAGGGACACGGGATGGGGACACGGGTGATGGGATGGGGACAGTGGACACGGGATGGGGACATGGGTGATGGGATGGGGACAGTGGACAGGGGACAAGGGACAAGGGACAAGGACATGGTGGGACAAGGGACACGGGTGGTGGGATGGGGACAGGAGACACGGGATGGGGACAAGGACATGGTGGGACAAGGGATGGGGACAAGGGACAAGGACATGGTGGGACAAGGGACACGGGATGGGGACAGGGGACAGGGGACAAGGGACAAGGACACAGGGTGGGGACACGGGTGATGGGATGGGGACAGGGGACACGGGATGGGGACAAGGACATGGTGGGACAAGGGACATGGAATGGGGACACGGGATGGGGACACGGGTGATGGGATGGGGACAGGGGACAGGGGACAAGGACATGGTGGGACATGGGACATGGGATGTGATGGGGACAGGGGACAGGGGACAAGGACATGGTGGGACAAAGATGAGGACGTGGGACACGGGATGGGGAACAAGGGACACGGGATGGGGACACGGGGTGGGACATGGGACACGGGATGGGGACATGGGACACGGGATGGGGACATGGGACATTGGTAGGGACATGGGATGGGGACAGGGGACAAGGGACACAGGACGGGGACACGGGACAGGGGACAAGGGACAAGGGCATGGTGGGACACGGGGTGGGGACACGGGGTGGGGACATGGGACACGGGATGGAGACACGGGATGGGGACACAGGATGGGACATGGGACATGGGATGGGGACACGGGATGGGGACACGGGATGGGGACATTGGTAGGGACACGGGATGGGAACACAGGATGGGGACACGGGATGGGGACACGGGATGGGGACACAGGGATGGGGACATGGGACATTGGTAGGGACACGGGATTTGGGACATTTTGGGGGGGACACAGGGTGGGGACATTTTAGGGGGGGACACCATGGGGCGTTTGGGACACGGGAGGGACAGGGGACGCCCCTGTGGGGACGGGGACAGATTTGGGGGCTGCAGGAGGCTTTGGGGTGAATCCCTTCAATTTTGGGGTTCGATGAGGATTTGGGGTGAATCCACGGGGATTTTGGGGTGAATCCACCTGGATTTGGGGTGAATCTGTTCAGTTTTGGGGTCAATCCCAGCCAGTTTGGGGCTGTGGAAGTTTTTGGGGTGAATCCCTTCAATTTTGGGGTTCAATGAGGATTTGGGGTAAATCCACGGGGATTTTGGGGTGAATCCATGGAGATTTTGGGGTGAATCTCCCCTGATCTGGATCTGTTGGAGGTTTTGGGGTGAATCCCTTCATTTTTGGGGTGCAATGAGGATTTGGGGTAAATCCAAGAGAATTTCAGGGTGAATCTGTTCAGTTTTGGGGTCAATCCCAGCGAGTTTGGGGCTTTTGAAGTTTTTGGGGTGAATCCCTTCAATTTTGGGGTTCAATGAGGATTTGGGGTAAATCCACCTGGATTTGGGGGTGAATCCGTGGAGATTTTGGGGTGAATCTCCCCTGATCTGGATCTGTGGGAGGTTTTGGGGTGAATCCCTTCAATTTTGGGGTGCAATGAGGATTTGGGGTAAATCCACGCGGATTTGGGGTGGATCTGAGCAGTTTTGGGGTCAATCCCAGCCAGTTTGGGGCTGTGGAAGTTTTTGGGGTGAATCCCTTCAATTTTGGGGTGCAATGAGGATTTGGGGTGAATCCACCTGGATTTGGGGGTGAATCCATGGAGATTTTGGGGTGAATCTCCCCTGATCTGGATCTGTTGGAGGGTTTGGGGTGAATCCCTTCATTTTTGGGGTGCAATGAGGATTTGGGGTGAATCCACATGGATTTCAGGGTGGTTCTGTTCAGTTTTGGGGTGAATCCCAGTGAATTTGGGGCTGTGGGAGGTTTTGGGGTGAATCCCTTCAATTTTGGGGTGCAATGAGGATTTGGGGTGAATCCACGTGGATTTCAGGGTGAATCTGTTCAGTTTTCGGGTGAATCCCAGTGAATTTGGGGCTTTTGAAGTTTTTGGGGTGAATCCCTTCAATTTTGGGGTGCAATGAGGATTTGGGGTGAATCCATGGAGATTTTGGGTGGTTCTGTTCAGTTTTTGGGGTCAATCCCAGCCAATTTGGGTCCCGTGGAACATTTTTTTGGGGTGAATCCCTGCAGCTTTGGGGTCACAGCGAGGTTTTTGGGATGGATCCGTTTTTGGGGTGAATCACGAGGAATTTGGGATGAGCTGGATGTGACCCCCCCCCCATTCCCTCCCCATCCCTGGGGACCCCACAGGAAGGAGCCGAGACCCGACTGAGTCACCCCAAAAATGACTCAGCCCCGGGGGGGGGTCCTGGGTGGGGTTTGGGGGGGATTTTGGGGTCTTGGGTGGGATTTGGGGGTCCCAGAAGGGATTTGGGGGGTCCTAGGGGGGATTTTTGGGGTCCCTGGGTGGTGTTTGGGGGTCCCTGAGAGGATTTGGGGGGGGGTCCCAGAAGGGATTTGGGGTCCCCGGAGGGGATTTGGGGTCTTGGGTGGGGTTTGGGGGCTCCCGGGGCATTTTTGGGGTCCCTGGATGGGGTTTGGGGGGGGTCCCAAGCAGGATTTTGGGGTCCCCGGAGGGGATTTGGGGTCTTGGGTGGGGTTTGGGGGCTCCCGGGGCATTTTTGGGGTCCCTGGATGGGGTTTGGGGGGGGTCCCAAGCAGGATTTTGGGGTCCCCAGAGGGGATTTGGGGTCTTGGGTGGGGTTTGGGGGTCCCAGAAGGGATTTGGGGGGTCCTGGGGGGGATTTTTGAGGTCCTGAGTGGGGTTTGGGGGGGGTCCCAAGGGGGATTTTTGGGGTTCCAAGGGAGATTTGGAGGGTCCTGGGTGGGATTTTTGGGGTCCCTGAGAGGATTTGGGGGGTCCCAGAAGGAATTTGGGGTCCCTGGGTGGGATTTGGGGGGTCCTAAGGGGGATTTTTGGGGGTTCCAAGGGAGATTTGGGGAGTCCTGGGGGGATTTTGGGGTCCTGGGGAGGATTTTGGGGTCCCTGAGGGGATTTGGGGGGGTCCAAAGGGGATTTGGGGGGTCCTGAGTGGGGTTTGGGGGGTCCTAAGGGGAATTTTTGGGGTCCTGGGGGGGATTTGGGGTCCCTGGGTGGAATTTGGGGGGGTCCCAAGCAGGAGTTTGGGGTCCCTGAGGGAATTTGGGGTCCTGGGGAGGATTTTGGGGTCCCGGAGGGGATTTGGGGGGTCCCTGTGTGGGGTTTGGGGGGGTCTCAAAGGCGATTTTGGGGTCCCTGAGGGGATTTGGGGTCCTGGATGGGGTCTGGGGGGTCCTGGGTGAGATTTGGGGGGTCCTGGGGGGATTTTTGGGGTCCCTGAGGGGATTTGGGGAGTCCCAAGGGGAATTTTTGGGGGTTCCAAGGGAGATTTGGGGGTTCCAGAGGGGATTTGGGGTCCCTGGGTGGGGTTTGGGGTCCCTGAGGGGATTTGGGGGTTTTTGGGGGATTTTTGGGGTCCCTGGGTGGGGGTTGGGGGGGTCCCGGGGGGGATTTTTGGGGTCCCGGGGGGATTTGGGGTCCCTGTGTGGGGTTTGGGGGGGTCTCAAAGGCGATTTTGGGGTCCCTGAGGGGATTTGGGGTCCTGGGTGGGGTTTGGGGGGTTCTAAGGGGGATTTTTGGGGTCCCGGGGAGGATTTTGGGGTCCCTGAGGGGATTTGAGGGGTCCCAAGGGGGATTTGGGGGGTCCCAGAGGGGATTTTTGGGGTCCCTGAGGGATTTGGGGGGTCCCAGAAGGGATTTTGGGGTCCCTGAGGGGATTTGGGGGGTCCCAGAAGGGATTTGGGGGGTCCTGCGTGGGGTTTGGGGGGTCCTAATGGGGATTTTTGGGGTCCCAAGCAGGATTTTGGGGTCCTGGGGGGGATTTGGGGTCCCTGGGTGGAATTTGGGGGGGGTCCCAAGCAGGAATTTGGGGGTCCCTGAGGGAATTTGGGGTCCTGGGGAGGATTTTGGGGTCCCGGAGGGGATTTGGGGGGTCCCAGAAGGGATTTGGGGTCCCCGGGGGGATTTTGGGGATCCTGGGTGGGGTTTTTGGGGAATCCCAGGAGGAATTTTGGGGGATTTTGGATGAGTTGTGGATTTTGGGGGGAATTTTGGGGTTTTTTTGGGGGCGGGGTCGGGTCTGATTTTTTGGGGGCGTTTCTGGGTTTTTGGGGAGGAATTTTGGGAGGGGTTTTGGGGTTTTTTTGGGGGGTTTCTGGGGAGAT